CATGGCTTTTTCAACAAGCGGGCCTGACCTAGGGTGAGTTTTAAATAGGGACAATTTTTAACGATTTTAAAGAGCCACAGCTACCAATATTTGGGTTTTAATTGGTTTTTAGTAGGGGAAATTTTTTTGTATGATGTTTTAATATGCTGTGAGCCGCCCTGAGTCCCATGGGGAGAAGGGCGGCATATAAATCCTAAATAAATAAAAAAAAAATAAAAATATGAATAATATATATTCTTCAAAAATTTAGATTATGGTTATACCAGGATTATTCTAGTCCAGATTGTAGTAATAATTTATTTTATTCCAAATCAGCATAAATGCATTATAGTTTGCTTTTTAATATGTTAAAAACTGTTGCAGTATCACCATCATGGTAACCTATTCCATTTTAGAATAAAGACATAATGAAGAGAATGTGAATGTGAATTCCTAATATAATATGAATTATTATAATACTATAACAATACACTATAACACTATAACATAATAGTGTTGTTGAGATTTTGTTGGCATTGGCAAATATCCTGAAATTCCCCTGTACTTAAGAAATGTCAGAATCATTAAACAGATGTAATAAAACTGTAACTTCTGTAAATACTGATATCATGGCAGGAAGCTTTACATCGCTACAATGATAGCCAAGATGTATAGACTACAATGCTAAACAAAATCAAATTGTATTATGGCTTACATGCATGAATTAAACTAATAGTATTCAATTAATAAAGCATTGCTATTTAATAAATCATAATGGTGTTTTCTATGAATCCAGTAAGAAAAATAAAAATAAACTCTTAATTCATGTGAATTTCAATTTTATGAATGCTTGTTTTAATATCCCATTGTGTATTAATTCCAAAAAGATAAGCTGAGGATTGCAATGGAATCTTACTTTCTTATCAGGCTGGTTTAATGTGAAGTGTCTTGATATTCAGGTAATTAGATAAGTTTTCAATTCTGATTCTGATTGCCATGACTTGATGCATGCAGTGATAAATTAACACTTCAAATTCTTTTTTACAGATATGACCACATGACTTCAGATGCCCACACATCTTTCAAAGCAGAAGAAATGGCAACGGTCAGTCATTTAGTAGTTTTATGATCCAAGTACTAGAAGCAATATTATTCATTTAATATTTGCTTCCTTGTTTTTCAAATCTTAGTGATGATCAAGACATGATAATACTGCACATTTAATACAGTACATTGGGAAGCATTGCCAATTTGACCCTAACCTATTGAAACTTTTTTAAAGGATAAGAAAGAGACCAAATCAGCAGGAAGGAGTCCTCGTATTGGCCCATTCTACTAGGTCACATAGAGTGGGCATACTCCAGGTCCCTTTCCTCAAACGTTGCCATCTGGTATGATCTCAGATGCACGCCTTCTTCATAGCCACCCCAAATCTTTTAAACAGGTCCCATCTGAGATTCAGCTCCCCATCCACCTATGCTTTTAGCTTTCCAGAAGGCCATGAAGACCTGGCTCTTCTCCCAAGCATTAAGCTAAGATGAAGTTGAGTTGGGAAGTAACAATATGGGTGGTTCTGATGCCTGGTGGGAAGGGTATGAGCCATATTATTGTTCTTATTGGTTTCTGAATGTACAGAGCGCAGACACTTTATTATTACATTTGTATCTTCTGTGGGGTAAGGGTGGAATAAATGTGGTCTGCCTCATCCTTTTTCATGTGGTAAGTTAGATGAAAACTTAAATATTTTCTGTGGGTTTAAATATTCCCACTGAGTTCATGGCTATGTGAAGATCAGAATTCTTTATCCTATTCGATCAATCACTACACCAGAATTGCTCCTAATAAATGAAATAAAAAAACTGATTGTTCAGTGCCTGTCCTTTATGAAACCCAGCTGAGTAATCTAGTTACAGGTAGTCTTCACCTGACAAGCATTCATTTAGTGACCATTTGAAGTTACAACAGCACTGAAAAAAATGATTGACAGCAATCCTTGCACTTAGGACCATTACAGCATTCCCATAGTCATGTGATCAAAATTCGGGTGCTTGGCAAGCAACATGTGTTTACAATGGTTGCATCATCCTGGGGTCATGTGATCACCATTTGCAACCTTCCCAGATGGCTTCCAACAAGAAAAGTCAATGGGGGAAGCTGAATTTGTTTAATGATCACGAGATTCACTTAGCAACTGCAGTGATTCGCTTTACCAAGGCAAAATAAAGGTCATAAAATAGGGCGTGATTCATTTAACAACCACCTTGCTTAGCAATGGAAATTCTGGTTCCACTTAGAGTTCTAAATCAAGAACTACCTGTAGGAATTGCACTCTCATTGATACCATTTAAAGAAAATTAAAAAAAATAAAATATAAGTTCTGTATCCAATTTCCCAGTCCCTTTTTAATATGTAATACAGGGTTAAAGTTTAGAACTAACATACTGTAGTGAATATTAGCTCATGCACGAACTTAAGATCTTCAGACTCTATTCCAAAAGTTGTGATGTCAGCAGAAAGAGGATGTAGAAGAGTTTTCTTATGGCACCAACATAATATTCGTGATACAATGACTAAATTTTTAAAAAATATCTCTAGCCTTTTTTTAAAATATATTTATTATTATTATTATTTAAAAAAATCAATTTCTATATTGAACAGTGCGTTGTCTAGGTATACAAGTATTAAGATATTCTAATCATCACATCCATAATAATCTTATCAAGATACAATCATATACTAAGAAATAGCAATCAAAATAAACTCATATATCGTAGCCACCCATCTATTTGAAGGAACTTGTAAATTTTAAGCCTGATCAGACTAAAGAATACAATACTTATTTATTTATTTGCTTCTTGCTTGCTTGTTTATTTATTTGTATCCTGCCTATATTATTTTTACAAACTACTCAACATATCCAACATACCTTCCTCCTATTTTCCCCATAACAACAACCCTGTAAAGTGAGTTGTGCTATGACAGAGTGACTGGCCCAAGTTATCCAGCTGGCTTTTATGGATTTGAACTCACAGACTCCTGCTTTCTATCATGGTGCTTTAACCACAAGATCAAAGTTCTATATAGCAAGATTCCATGACGATGTTTGATTATAATCAGTTAACAAAATATTGTTGGTTCTTGGACCCAGTGTTACAATATACCTGAATTGGTATTTTTTTTTCAATTATGTACTAGAAATAGGGAAATAATTTATTTAGAAAAATTATTGATATTTGTATATTTTAATTTAATTTTAATAATTGTGATAAATCCAAGAAGATTTTTTCCCATTCAAGAAGAGCATGCCTATTCATTCAGAAAATTGCTTTTCAGCAATTATGAGAAACCATAATTATGAATTTCTACTCCGTATTTGTTGCAGATGTAGTCAATTTTTGCATCATTTGCTTTAATTGAAGAGTTTAGAGCTAAATTAAGGTGTACTAAAGCAGTTTATGTGAAAAATAAAATAATGTGCAAGTATTGAAATGCTATCTCTAGCCAGGGTACTATTAATATTACCATAAAACATAATTGTAATAAGAGATAGGTATTTAATGGCTTTGCTTGGTTGAAAAAAAAATATATTTTCTTCATCTGTTCTCTTCATAGACCCAGATATGCAACTCCTCTTTGCCCTCTGAACCTACAAATAAATGCCTTGATGCAAACATCACTCATGTGATGGACAGCACGTCAACATGGAATGAGGAGCTGGAAAATGAGCTTTTAAAAGGTAAATTCATATCCCTGCTGTGCATTGACCTGCAAATTCGGGGTATGAAAGTGGCAAAACTGTATAAAACATTCTTATATACAGGTAGTCCTCAATTAACTATAGTAATTGGGACTGGGATGTCTACTACTAAGTGACTTGGTCAAAAAGTGCAATGTCACGTGAATATAGCATTTGGCAACAGAAAATCTGTCACTTCTAGTTGCCATTGTTAAGCGTGGGTCATTAAACGAGGGTATCACGTGATAGTTATAATGCTTATTATACAATTGTGACCTCCTGCTGGCTTCCCATTCATTTGTAGGAAGCTTGCAAAGAAGGTTGCAAATGGTGATCACATGGCTGCGGGATAATGTGACATAATTGTGCGCTGGTGTTGAGTGCTTGGATTGTGATCATATGACTGCCGGGATACTATGACTCTTAAGTGTGAGGACTAGTTGTAATTGCCCTTTGTTCAGCACCATTATTTAGAACAATCGCTGAATAAGTGATTGTTAAATAAGGACCACCTGTAATGCCACTGTGGCCTAAGCTGGTGCTTTCCGAATGTGCTAAACTTCAGCTTCCAGTCAGTCTACTGGCAATGCTTTCCAAGAATTCTGGGAGTTGAAGTAAATGTCTCTATAGGACAATAGCCTGGGGCAGACTGCCCTGTAGTTTCACTTAGATCCTCTGAGTGGAGTAATAAATGAATTAGTGGGATTATTACCTTCCAATTTATCTATAGCTATCCTGCTTACCTTCAGGCATTAACGCAATCTACTCAGACAAGAACTGACACTCATAAAAAAAATTGAGTATGTCCTTTGGTTAGCTACATTGGCACTACTGTTGCTGCATGGCGACATTAATTGGGTCTCATTGTCCAGGAAGGCTACCAAACAACCCACCATCAACCAACATACAGTAGTTCTATTAGTGTTGTTTGAAAAGACTACGCTGAATTATAAGGTTGAATCAGTGGAGGATAAAAGATAGCCCTTGAAATGTAGTTCATCTTTTTCCTTGCCATCCCAGTGGGATAACTGGCTCTGCTTCCTCAAAGCTTCATCTACCTGTTATTTAACGTTGTGTGTAGTTTCTGTAGTACATTCTCTGCAGCACTTTTGTAATCCTCACTACCCACCAAGGTAAAGAAGGAAACACACTCTCTAAAAGCAAGTGGAGAAGTTCAGATGATGTGGGGGCAACCATAACAGTCTCTCCAGAAATTCCAGGACTCTCTTAAACTTTCTGATGTTTCTCCTTAATCTTTTTCTCCAAATTAAAATATTCAAATATTCCTATTTTTCCTCACAGAGCAGAGACAAAAAAAAATTACTGTCCACTTGGGTGCTGATGTTTTCAGATTTTGAGCCCATACAGCAGTGTTTCTCAACCTCAACAACTTTACGATATGCGGACTTCAAGCCCCCAAGGCTAGCTGAGGAATTCTAGAGGGTGAAGCCTACATATCTTAAGGTGCCTAAGTGGAGAAACACTGCCATAGACATTATGGCTAGGGATAAGATGACCTCATCAGAGGACACAGAATAAGCCCATTCTTTTCCATTTTGAGGTTGAAGATAAGGGGTAAAATAAACATTTAAAATCCCATTCATGGAAAAATGATGCCTGGCTTGATCTTTAATTTGCACTGAAAAGCACATAAAATTTCACCAACAATATTGTCAGGTTGTTGCTGAATTTCAGTGGTGTGATTAGATGGTGCTTCAGAGGCCACAGCAAGTCATTGTAGGAGAGTTAAACTTTGCTCCCTTAAGGTGTTTATTTTTGTACCTTGGTTAAATAATTGATATGAAAAAGGTTATTCTTGTTTTCCCTAAATGAACTAAGGAATGGTAGAAGCAGGCTAACACATGCAGCACAAAAAATTATAATTACACCTTGTATCCCCAAGGTGAAAATACTCCGCAAATTATTCTCTCCACATTCTTGGCAGTTAGAAAATGTTCTTGAAATGGAATTAGATTTAATATTTAACTCAAAGGAACAGTCAGCAAGTAATTGTATATTCATTTATCCAAGTGTATTGTATGGATGTTATGAATTCTGCAATCTGCTTTCAACAGAATGGGCCAAGCATATTAGCTTTGAATTCAGATTAGAGAAAAATCAGTAACACGTGGAACAACATTCATGCAATCTAACTTACTAATTTTGTAATGTTTTCTATGATTTTAACCTGTTTTAACTTGTAAGAAAATTGCATTTCAATAAAAATGACAAATGTCTCATACAATAATTTAGAGAAAAAAATTTGCATGTTTAATAAATGACTCTGACATTGTGTATCAAAAACTTTTAAGTATATCTGTTGTTATGTTAGTGTTTTAATTAATATATATATGGGATTTTATTTGTGTAGAACCGCAGGTTGATTTATCTATGTCAATATTGAAAAATAAAATTAATTCCTTCCTTCCTTCTCTGTTCACTAGTTTTGGACTGTTTGGATAGCCAACTGGCACAAGAACAATCTCAAGATACTATGAATACAAGGACTCCGACTAACTATGGCTCTACAGCACCAAAAATCCATCATCATTCCACTGTTGTGCAACCAAATTTCCTTGGAGAAGTACAGAGAAATGACCAGAACTTGTTTTCCCCAGATAGAACAAGGACATTAAGAGCCAGAAATAAATACAAAACTTTCTTCACACCAAGGAGGCTTTATGATACCTATACAAAGCAACATCACATAGAAAAATACCCATATGGGGATTTGTGTGATGAAAGATCTTCTTTTTTAAAGAGAGGATATTCTGCTTGTTCTCTTGGACATTCTTCAGAAGATAGGTTGGCATTTTCATCAGAACCATACAGTAATGGATTTGGTCCTAAGAACTTCATGTCCAAGAATAAAATGGGCAGAAGTTACTCTTTGTCTTGCCTTACAAGGCGCTCGTCTTTGATGTCTGCTGACATGTTTTCCCCTGGTAGCTTACAGCACAATTCGGAAAGCAATACGGACTTCACAAAATTTAATTTCCAGCATCAGTCCAGACGGACTCCTCTTTCATCTATTATATGGAATATGCCACAGTCTTCTAGGCATTCACTACATCCAGACAGACTTCGTAGAACACAGTCATTAATAGAATTTAACACAGCATTCGAGGACTCCCATCCTTGTTCTCCAGAGGAAAATACAAGGTATAAATTTTATAGATCAAAAATGAATTATAGACAAGTAATACCAAATAAGAGCCATCCTTTATTCACTGAGAGACGAATAGACCCTCTGTGTTTCGACAGTCGGGAGAATTTTATGTTACATCCATTGAAAAATGTTTCAAAGCCATGTTACAGATACCCATCATTTCATGGTAAAATGAATCGGTCCCCAAACAATTTTCCTTTTGGAAGAACAGAGGAGTATCCTTTTAGATGTGATAATCATCAGTATTTCAGTGATGCTAACCATGTCCCTGATGTAAACTTTGAACAGCTGATTGAGCGGCGAAGTGACTATGGAAAAAAAAGAGACGTATGGCAAAGTGAACATATGCATGACCATGTTTCAGAATACACAAAGAGTAGGGACCATCCAGGAAGAGCAATTAACAAATTGCTTGTAAAGGGTTCAAGAGGCATGCAAAAAGGTGCAACTTATGTCTCAGCTGCTTTGGAGAACCAAACTGAATGTGCCGAGCCAAGTCAAAGTCATTTTAGTGGGGATAGTCAAGTTCCTTCAAAGACATTTGTTAAACCCTTTCAAACCAAAAAGAGCTCAAAAATGAGTGGCATGGACGAGATGATTGGTGCTGATCAGTCAGATAAAGTGGATAGTATGGACATAAAAAAGCCAATATTAATTCAAGCATTTGGACGAATAAAAACAAACAATCCAACAGAATCTCAGATGTCTCCTCCTACAGTCTCTTCTCAAGCTGCACCTCCTATGAGCAGATCCCTCCATCCACCTTTTATATTAAATTCAAAAAGGCAAGCCAAGGCAAATCCCTTAGGGCGCATTGAAAACATTTGTTTATCAAATATTCACAGTAAAAATGGCCAAAGAAATGAAGACAACAGCACTGAAAGCAACGGTGTAAAGCAAGCATGTCCCCCATACCTTATTGCTAATCCTTCAAAGCTGTCAATTCTTCAAAGTAACCCTCAAGAGGAGCACAGGTTGGAAACTTTGAAAGCATTTAACCCTGACAAGATGTTAAACCCTGTTTTCATTGAAGACTCCAAAGTACTTCCAAACAATGATTTCCCAGTTTCTTATGCTGAAACACTCCATAAACCAAATAGATTTGTTAGATATTCAACTAGTAATAGTGTTAGTGGCTCACAGAGCAGCAGCCCTCTCAAATCTCCTAAAACACATAAGACATTATTTCAAAAATCAGCTAGTATTGATGGAAGTGATCTCTCTAAAAAACACATCTCTCCCCCTACAAGGAAGATCCCTTGCAGAAATAAGAGGATGGGGGAGGATAACTTAGAAGCCCATGTACCAAACAGACTTGGGAATATTTATTCAAATAAGGGAGATAAAAGCTCTTTGTTCAGCTCATCCTGCTCATCCTTAAACAAATTGTCCAAAGAAATGGCTGAAGAAAAAAATAAACAAATTAAAAAGTATCACATGCATTTAATTCAAGCTCCTAACTGCCCATCGGGGAGTACTAATATAATTGGCAGCAAACGGAAAAAAAGAGATGAGATGCTTGGTGCAGAGAAAGCAATTTTTTCTTCTTCTGAAAATGAGGAAACAGAGGCAGAAAATCCTTTAAAGCAATATAAAACCACCAGCAAATTGACCGTAAGCATATATGAAGATAATGTAAAATACCATGAATTGATTTCGGTTTATTATACTTTACCACGGAAACATTCACAAGCTTTGTGCAATGTCTTCCCAGTAGATACCAAAAAGGCAGATTCATCCTCGTCCCCAGAAAAACCGCAGACCCCTCAAAAGCAGTATGAAGTTCGTGTCGGTATGACAACTGTAGCTTTTCCACCCAGCTTAGAAAAAGGAGAAAAAATTATTTCTCCTGACAAAATGCCTGCTCCTGATATACAACAGGATTCAAAAAATATAGGCAATCCTATTAAAGTTCTCCAAGTTTCAAATCCCATTGTGGAAACAGCAGATGTTTCTCCAGCACATTGTTCAATGAATAATAAAAAAGAAATAGTTGTATCAGGAGCAGAAGAGCTGGGACTTGCAATTTCCAATAGGCCACCTATGGATGGTTCTCCAGGTGGCCCCAAGCCCAGCAGAAAAGAGGTTGAAACAGTTAACACCAATATTTTGTCCAACCTGCATGTTGGCAGGCGCTCTTCTCCATGGACAGAGTCCTCAAAACTTGATAAAAACTTACGTCTTAACTCACTGAATTCCAAAAGTACCTCTTTGGGGGATATTTCTGCAGTTTCTTCTCCAATAAATGGTCATAAAGGGAGTCCTGGCTATAGACAGCCATCTGCTGAAGCATCAGCAAGCATTCCTCCTTCCAATTTAATTGACATTATCCAGGACGGAAAACCCACTGCATGCCCAGAAGTCGGCACCCGGGTAAATGTCACTAAAGAAAAAATTAGAAATGCTGCAGAGATCAAAGAAAGGGCTCGTTATATATGTCGCATTATTTCTGAAAGGGGACATCGGTTTCCACCGAGAAATGAAAGTGTCAGAAATGAAACATCCATTTCAACAAGCAAGATGCATTCAGCTTCCCAGAATTTAACAGTGCCAGGGGATGCTGCTTTTTCAGCTAATGCAGTCATTCATCCAAAAGGGAATGTGGTAGAATGTTCAAAGCCTGAAGAGCAGGAGATGCCTCAAAGTCCTGCACTCCGCAAAGTTGGCACAAATTTACAGAGGTCTGAAAGAGTCTGTGTGGACAATGAGAACCTTAGCTCTAAAGGTAAGCAATCAGGTCCTACACAGGACTTGCCTGAGCACTTACTACCTGAAAGTAAGCTTGCCCTGGATAGCCTTAAAAATAAAGTTAATGACATAGAAAAAAGGAAAAATAGGCCTTCAGTTAAAAACAAACTAGCAGCCATGTGCAGAACAAGTCGAAAGTTTTCTAATAAGAAAAGCTCAAGTCCCAAACCACACGTAAGTTGCATATTTTCACAAAATGATGCACTTTCATTAGAGAAAAGCATCCGCCATCCCATGTTGATTTCACCCGATGATTCCCAGCAAATAGGGAATGAGAATCAGAATCAGGTTCCTCTACCTGGGGAATTTGATATTCCAAGGCTGAGTAAAGTTGAAACTAAGAAATTGCAAACTAATGAAGATAGGAGGCCTTTGACAAACTTGTGCAACCAAAAAAGAGAACATTCTGGGCAAAGTGATAAAAATATAAAGACCATCCAAAATTCTACCATCCTATTTTCAAAATCAATTATGCCTGTGCTAAACAACAATTTACAGACAGGTAGCAAAGTTTTAGAAAATAACAGCCATCCCATTTTCTCCAAATGCGCAGGAATGGATGCTTGCCCTCCAAAAAGAGGTCACTGTAATGTTGGTGAGCTTTCATCTTTTCCACTTTTGTCTGATAAACATGCATACATTAAAAACAATTCAAAAACAAATATTTCTCCACTGCAAAAATTGACTTCTCAAGCAGAATGTGATGATTATCAAGATAATGAGCAGTCAGATATCTTTAAAAATGTAAACCAATCCTGTGCCAAGCCAGTTCTAAATCCCAGCAAAACCCAGCGTGAACGACATTTTTCTGAATGTTCCTATACACAAAAACTCCATGATTATTTGCCCCCTAAAAACAATCTGATACAGTCTGGATATAATCGGAAATTTAAGTCCTATTCTGAACTGTTGTCCTGTGATGAAAATGAGAACTGGGACACATACAAGGAGAATAAAAGGAACTTTGGTTCGCGACCTATCATGTACCCCTCAATTGAATTTGGTATTTTTGGAAAAGAACAACAGCAGGCTTTCTTAGATAACATAAAGAGGTCACTCACGGAAGGGCGGTTGTGGAATCCATGTCTTTTAAAGAACTTCAGGTCCATTAAAAGGGAAGATGGGTGCTCCTTAAATGGGTTGGAGCTGTTGAAATCAAGTGCTACAGAAGAACAGTTCCCAAATGAACCTTTTGATTTCCATGAAGAAGCCTCTGCATATTCTTCAGATTCTGACACTGACACCACCACAGATGATGAATATTATCTGCATGAGTATGAGAAAGAATCAGAACTATGAGGAACTCAGCAGATGTAGAAAGCAACTGCCTACTTGCTGACTTGTTGGTTGATAGCTTATAAAAGAGTAGGGACTGAAAACTTGACTAGCTTTCTATAAATGCGCTAATTTGAACTCGGATACTAAATGGACATATTGCACTAATCTAGTCTTCCACAATGCTGGCTTTTCTCAAATATGTGGACTGCCAGAATTCTAACAAATATCCTTGGAATTAAGATCCGCATATCTAGGGAATGCTCAGGTTATAGAAGCTCTGCGGAGATGTACGGTAATACGTTTGGTTTTAGGATAGGGTACCGTATGAACTCAGTAACTGTGGCTTATAAACTGTGGTGTACTTTTTTGCGTGTTGCTTAAATCCAACCAATTGTGGTTTATTCAATAAACCATGGTGAGATAAGCTGTAACTTAAGAGTTATGTAAACCTAGCCATTACAGTGATCGGCTTAAAAATTTGTTTTTAAATGGTAAAAATCACCCTACATTTGAATCTCTAATGGCACTGGAAAGAATAAAGGAATTGTCCTACTGGTTCTTAGATGAGGTTTGCCTGCTTTTGCAGAGCAGGATCTCTTTGTACCAGTTAACTTTGGCACATAATCATAACACAGCTGCTTTGATCAGCAATTGAATGTTTGCATTCAACACATCCATAGCCTTTCTGTGTTTGAACAAATCTAAAACTTCTACGTTTTAGGGAAAAAAAGGGAAGATTCAAAATATGTGTATATTTAATATCCTGTATGAGAATATATTCCTTGAATTGGAAAATGTGTGTGTTTATTAGAACTATTCAAATGAAAGGAGCTACTTCAATGAGGTAACTATCCTTAAGCTTCAAATCATGCTGAAGATATTGCAAGAGACTCTCTTATTCATAACAGTGAAATTTTAAAATACTACATGTTCACTGATTTCCACTTTAGTTTTTAAAATTAGCCTATTAATATGATGTACAAAATTGGTTCTTCTGAAATGCTTAATACTTTGTTAAAGAAGTATGTGTATGTACAGAATGTACAGTATACTTTTAAATATTTGTTTAGTATGGCAGTTACACTTGAAAGTACTTCTACAGTATATATTTATATTTTAGTTCATGTAAATGAAACCATTCTAGTAAGATTCTAATTAATTATCTGTTCATGTAAAAATATGTTCCTTAAATGTGAATTATTTTGAAAAAAAATATCTGTGCATTAATTGCGCATATGGACTAATGAAGCTGTACAGCTTTTTGCATTGGAAAAAGACTTTGAAACTTGTAAAGCTTTATTGAAGCTTTTTTTATTGAAAACACTTGTATGTGACAAGCTCAGAGTGCAGTCAAAAAGTCATGCACAGGCGTATGTTTACACACATACAAAACTCTTCTTTAGTATTTTCTTTTTGTGCTTTGCCTTTATGACTTCGTTCCTTTGTACATTGTAAATACGTAAGTTGTTTGTTTTGAGATTAATTTTCAGGCCATATTAACTTCTGGTGAATTTCTGTTCTATGTATCCAGGCGTTTTAACAGTATGCTACCTGTATAAACAAAACTGTAATCCCACTGAAGAGCAAAATTCCTTCAATGCAACCTGATCTCATTAATGCAAACAATTGTTTGTTATTTGCTCGCACGGGCAGGTACAATCCCGTTGCAGAGTTATCAGGTTCAAACGGGGAAGGTCAATCTATGGCAACTGAACCACCCATTCCAAAGTCCAGGTAGAGCAGTGTTACAGGGCTGGAACTGAGGAGCAGATGAAATGTCTTAACTCCAGGACTGGTGTGTTTTCTCCCTTGTTTGGAGAATAGGATCCAGATAATTCCAAACCTCCCAAATTCAAAAATATATGAATTTCATGGGGTTTTCAAACAATTTTGGACCTTAAGACTGATTTGATGGGTGGCATTTTCCAAACCATCTCTCCACTGCTTACCAGAAAGGCTATTTCAGAGTGAGTGGCAGTAGACAAGTCCAAAGTATGAAAAAAATGTCACTCTATTTAAAGAGCACTATATAGGAAGCCCCTTCTACAGTTTCATAGAATTTTGTTTGTAAAACAAGGCAACAGGCAGCATATTGGATGTCTGAAACTAGGCATTTAGTTATAAATAGTTTAGCAGTTTGTCCCCAGAAATTTGGTGTTCTTCTGTCTTATGTTGACCACCCATGTTTTATGTGAGCCTTCCCTAGTCCTTGTGTCTTCAAATGTGCTGGGACTACAACTCCCAGAATTCCTTGCCAGTCTATTACAATGCAAGCATATTTAGATATAACCAGGGAAACCTTTTTTTCATTTGAAATAAGCTATTAATATTGACTACCAATATTTTAAATAAATGGACTATATTTATGACCGACTCACAAAGTGGTTTTCTTGTTTGTGTTCTGCTTTAATTCTGAATGTTTAATAAATGTTTAATTTTCAGAGCAGACATGCCCGAACGGCCTGTTTACAGTTGTGACATCAAAAATGGATTCAAGTGTTTAGAGTCAATTATTTTGTTATTACAAGATGTCATCTTCTCTTGGCTTTATGTAATATTTCTAATATGAAGAAAGAAAAGTATAATACATGTAAAAAAGGTGCAAATAATTATCCCTATAAAACTTAAATCGAATATACTTGGATAATATAGTACAAAACTCTAAACAGTAAACAATACATTAGATTAGTACCAAAAGTTATAAACCAAATTAAGATGTAATTCAATAAAGGAGAATATTTGTAGCTCAGGGTTGAAATGAGGGGTCCTTAGAGCTTTCTGAGTTTGGTTGTTTTCTTGCAAAACACTGATGATGTTACCTAGTTTGGGTAATGAAAAGTCTGCAAGAAAACAATTAAGTTGAGAGAGCACCAAGGACCCCAATAGACAAATATTCCGGTGATTGAAGCCTGCTCCACAATTTAGCCATTATTTCAAAGAAGAAATTATAGAAAGCATATAAAATTGTTGCAGCTATCGACATATAAAAGAAAATTCAGTGATTTTTGAAGAAATGTATGGTTTAGATAAATTGAATAAAAATATCTGTTTGTAATGCAATTATTACCTTCAAAAGTGTCCCATTCTCCTATGAATTATTCTTCAGTATTGGACTTTACAATGCTGCCTTCATGTATAAAAAAGACCTGCTCATTACATTTTCAGAACATTTATTTTAGCAATCAAGACTGGAGTAATATACCAATATTAGAACATATAATACCAATTCTAAGTATGGTGATCAAAGTAAATATATTGGTCTTCAACTGAAATTCACACTGTTGCATCTTTTCATCTCTGTTCAAGTTCTACATCCATTTTATCATATTTTAACTTGTTCAGATTCTAAATCATAACTTCAGTGTAATTAATAGATTGCATCTTAACTGATGTTCAATATTACGTATTTTAAGATGTTCAAATCCATTCCAGTCCTGTTATGTTCTCCCTTGTTTCTGTACTTCATCTGTTGTAGTACAACTTATTTGAAGATGCTGGAGCCAATTGAATGTAGGAGAACATTGTTTAGTAAGAGATGCAAAAGTATTTATCTTTGTCCTATTGACAATGTAATCTTGTAGTCTAAACCAGGGCTTTTCAACCAGTGGTACGGGTACCACCTGTGGTAAATTGACACCTGGCAGGTGGTACGCGACCATCCTAGAAAAGTAGCAGGGGAGGGGAATGAGCTGAACTGGTGGCAGCACCGCACAAGCCTGAGCGAGAGATGGCTGGAGCTGCAGGGCTGTCAGGTTTCAGAGGAAGCGCCAGGATCAGTGCCGCTTTCCAGCTGGAGCTCGGCGCTGATCCTGGCGCTTCTGCTGAGCCCTGAAGAAGCACCGATCAGCTGGAATGTTGCAGCATCTCCAGGGTCTTGTGATTTACATTCAGATGTTTGGCAACTGATTCATATTTATGACTGTCACAGTGTCCCAGGGTCATGTGAAGTGACCAAAACCTGCTGCAACCACCCAGCAGACGGGGGGAATAAAAACCAAACATCCCCCACACCACCTTCACTGCCAATCCCCAACAGAAATGTTCACAACAATGAAAACCTTGGACAGGAGGAAGAGCGCCGCTGGTGTCTTGCTCGGCTGTGGTTTGGGGGGCACTTTTTTCAGTGCCATTGTAACTTCGAACAGTCACTAAGCAAACTGTTGTAAGTCAAGGACTACCTGTACTTTATCACTTTTTTCCTTTTTTTTTTTTTTTTGGTCATCAAGTTTTTGACACTTTGCTAGGTGACTGGTGGTACTCGGATATTGCCATATCCTAAAAGTGGTACAATGGGGGAAAAGGTTGAAAAGCCCTGGTCTAAACAAGTTGTCTTTCTACTAAGTGGATTTCTTTATTTTCATGAAAAACAGATTTCTCCTATGGGCCTAGGAAGTGGACTTAAAGTCTGAATGCACAAGATGAAACAAGTTCCTTGAAAGATCTCGGTTTGATGAATGCTTTGAGAATTCAACCTCTTGTCCATACACTGTTGTGCTCAGACGTTATGCTCAAAAACAGCACATGAGTGCAAATACCCCTCCAGCCCATTTACAAATTCCAGCAACATAATAAACAGTAGCTGTGGAACTGCAGTATCCATTACAAAACACAACTTATAAAGATAATCCATGGCCTACAATCAATTGTTTAATGATAGATCAAAGTTACGTGGCCTTGGAAAGGGAGCTTACAGCCATTGTAAAACATGACTTTGGGGCCCTTGGCAACTGGCTGGCATTTAGGACTGGTTGCAGTGTCCCACAGTCACATGGCCAAGATTTGTGACTTTTTGCCCATATCTGGCAAAGAAAGGCCCATATGGATTAAACAAAATGGATTTGTTTAAGACCTATTTACTCAGACTTACAACTGTGTGATTTGCTTAACAACTACTATAAAAACAATTTAAAAAATCGGGTTCAGTCACATGGGTGCTTCGACTTACAACTGCAACTACTTACGGTCAAAATTCTAGTCCCAAATGAGGTCGCAAATCAAGAACAGCATTCAAATACCTCCCCTGTAGCAAAGGATATTGTGAGTATTTCAACAACAGATCTATGCTGTTAGGTCCCATTTCTCTTACTGCAACCCATAACGTCTGTCCATTCATTCCAGATACATTATTGCTGTTTTTCTGTATTGGCAATCCAAAATATAACTTGCAGCAAAGTGTATAGTACTCATTTCAGGCAACTTTCTTATATGCAGGTGTTGTGTGAATGGTATTAAATTATAACGAATGCTCCTCTCCCCTGATCTGATTTCTGTCTGCATTCCTTACTTTGTATGTGGAAATACTGGGAAGCATAGCCAAAGATAATTTAATTTCATCTTAATCTCATTTATTTTAAGATCAATGTGGAAATTGATTACAGGTAGTCCTTGACCTATAACCATTCATTTAGTGACAATTCAAAGTTACAACTGCGCTGAAAAAAGTAACTAACGACTGTTTTTCGTACGACCGTTGCAGCATGGGGTGTGTGTGTCACATGATCAAAATTCAGAAGCTTGGCAACTGACTCATAGTTATGATGGTTGCAGTGTCCTGGAGTCATGTGGTCACATGTTTGTGACCTTTTGAGAAGCAAAGTCATTGCGGGAAACCAGATTCCCGCAACAACCGTACTCCTAACTTAACAACTGCACTGATTAACTTAACGACTGTGGCATGAAAGGTCATAAAATGGGACAAAAGTTACTTAACAGATGTCTTGCTTAGCAACAGAAATGTTGGGCTCAATTGTGGAGGTGGTTGGTCCCATCTCCACACACTCGGCCCGTCCTCCCCACAGGTCCTTAGATTTTAATGTTTGGTTTTAATGTATTTATGTTTTAGTGTATATGTATAAGCTACCTTTTTATGATTGTATGCCGCTCAGAGTTACCCTATGGTAAGATGGGCGGCAAATAAATTTTATAAAGAAATAAATAAATTGGTCATAAATTGAAGGCTACCTGCACCATATTCTGCAGGCAATTTAATGTCAACTGCCATTTCTGCTCTTGTGTGGAATCCATTTTTTAAAAATTCAGTTGGAAAGGTAAGAATGAGAAAGTTCAGAACTTTAGAATTTGAACATCTCAATAAGAAGTCAGAGCACTTTACAATGCCTTGGTAAAGCCACACTTGGAATACTGCATCCAGTTTTGGTCACCACGATGTAAAAAAGATGTTGAGACTCTAGAAACAGTACAGAGGAGAGAAACAAAGACGATTAGGGGACTGGAGGCTAAAACATATATGAGGAACGGTTGCTGGAATTGGGTATGTCTAGTTTAATGAAGAGAAGGACGAGGGGGGACATGATAGCAGTGTTCCAATATCTTAGGGGCTGCCACAAAGAAAAGGGAATCAAGCTATTCTCCAAAGCGCCTGAAGGCAGGACAAGAAGCAACGGATAGAAACTAATCAAGGAGAGAAGCAACCTAGAACTAAGGAGAAAGTTCCTGATAGTTACAACAATTAACCAATGGAACAACCTGCCTCCAGAAGCGGTGAATGCTCCAACACTGGAAGTTTTTAAGAAGAGACTGGACAGCCATTTGTCCGAAATGGTGTAGGGTTTCCTGCCTGAGCAGGGGGTTGGACTCGATGACCTCCAAGGTCCCTTCCAACTTTTNTTATTATTATTATTATTATTATTATTATTATTATTATTATTATTATTATTATTTGGAAAAACAGCAGCAAAACATATGAAACAGCATAAAAACTGTAGAAAGGCTCACATACCTGCCCAAGGAAGAATAACTAGGTTTTCAGTGCCTTTCAGATGATCATCAGTGTGGCAACCATATCAAACTTAGTGAGGATGATGCTTGACGGGGCAGGCACTGCAACAGAGAAGGCACACCACTGAAATCCCAGTAAGTGACACTGTTTAATTGGGATGACCTAAAAGGGGGTAGGTGATTTCTCAAATAACCAGAACTTGCACCATAAAGGGATTTATTAAGAACCAGGATCGTTAATTGCATCCAGAAGCCAGATGGCCACCAATGTGGTCCACGGAGCAGTGTTGTCACAAGCCCATACTGTGACATCCCCATTACTGCCCATGACATCACATTCTAGACCAGCTATGGTTTCCAAGCGATTTTCAAGGACAGATCCATGTATAGCACATTGCAATTATTGATTTGTGAGGGTAAGAGCAAACATTTGATGGGTCTCCTAATCCAAGAACTACTGCTTATTTATTTATCAATTTTACTTTATTTATATATTCTGATTTGGTATGCATTTCCCAAAACAGCAATAATCTGGCACCAGAATGAAACCACTCGTAGCTCTGCCAGTTATGTGTAAAACGAAGTTGTTTCTCCTCCTCCTTCTCTTGTTCCATTCTTTTCTCTTTCTCTCCTGTTACTCCAGAAGTCACCATTACATTGTAAATGTGTAGGTAAAGAAGAAAATGGTTAAATTTAAGAGGAAAAATTATTTTAATTGTATGTTTGTAGTTGTAAATTAAAATTATACCAGACTTCTTGACCTTGGCTCTGCCCATGTTTTTGCATGCAATCCCTAGCATGTCATCCAACAGCCAAATGTGACACAGCTGTAGTACACCCACTTATTAATGGCTTATACATAATTAGACCTTTTCTGGAAACACTAAAACAAGAAAGACCATATTTTATATATTAATGAAGGGATGAATGCTAATTTTGAATGTGTGGGAGGATATGTAGCTCCATCTGGAAAGCTATTTTCTTGTTTGATTATTTTTATAGCATGTCTATAAAAGGTGTTAATTATAAAAAATATTATTTTAGAAAGAAGATAATCTAGGTGGAGAAGGCTTTGCTTTTTTCTAAACCTTGTACACAGTGAATTAGCCAACAGAGTTCCAGAATATTCTGAAACCTCAATATTCTTCTGCAACATGAAGTGTTATCATTAAATGTTTTAATAGTGGATACATTTGACATACAAGCATACGGTTGTTTTTTAGAGTATTTTATTATAGTTATTTTCAAGGAATAACAGGTTGATTGGCTGGGTCCCAATTCTACTAAATACATCTATGATTTTAACTTATGAGTGCATAAATCCAAAAATCAGAACTGACAATTAGTAAGTTTGAATATTTACAATCAGACTCTTAGTAAGGATAAATCTTTTAATCTTACATAATTAAATTTTCCTTTAAAAAGAGAAACTCTGATGCATCAGCCCCTGTTTGGAACCTCATTAAGTCTTTTGCCTCTTTCAGGTCCAGTTTATCCCAGATAAGGTAAATGTCTAGAAAATCTCAGATTTGGGGAAGTGTTTTATCAAGTCTGTTAGAACAGGGCTTTTCAACCTTTTCACCCATTGTACCACTTTTAGGCTATGGCAATATCCGAGTACCACCAGTTGCCTAGCAAGGTGTCAAAAACTTGATGACCAAAAAAAAAAAGGAAAAAAGTGATAAAGTACAGGTAGTCTTCGACTTACAACAATTCACTTAGTGACTGTTTGAAATTACAATGGCACTGAAAAAAGTGCCCCCCAAGGCACAGCCAAGCAAGACACCTGTCTGCCCGCTCAGTGGCGCTCTTCCTCCTGTCCGAGGTTTTCATTGTTGTGAGCATTTCTGTTGAGGATTGGCAGTGGGGGTGGTGTGGTGTGGTGTTTGGTTTTTATTTCCCCTGTCTGCTGGGTAGTTGCAGCAGGTTTTGGTCACTTCACATGACCCTGGGACACTGTGACCGTCATAAATATGAATCAGTTGCCAAGCATCTGAATGTAAATCACAAGACCCTGGAGATGCTGCAACATTCCAGCTGATTGGCACTTCTTCAGGGCTCAGCAGAAGCACCAGGATCAGTGCCGAGCTTCAGCTGGAGTCTGGTGCTGATCCTGGCGCTTCCGCTGAGCCCTGACAGTCCCGAAGAAGCGCCGATCAGCTGGAAAGTGGCACTGATCCTGGCGCTTCCGCTGAGCCCTGATAGCCCTCCAGCTCCAGCCATCTCTCGCTCAGGCTTGTGTAGTGTTGCCACCAGTTCAGCTCATGCCCCTCCCCCGCTACCACTTTTCTAGGATGGTTGCGTACCACCTGCCATGTACCAATGTACCACAGGTGGTACCTGTACCACTGGTTGAAAAGCCCTGTGTTAGAAGATTAGTAAGGACTTTGCTGCATTTCCTAGTATTGGTTTTCAGCACAGGTTTGTTATGCAACAAGCCCCATCCAAATTTGGCCAAAATACCTGAGCCATGGTTTATTGTTATTGTACAATCACTACATCATGTCCAACTCTTTGTGAACCCATGGACCACAGCACACTACATGGTTCAATACACTATCCATAATAATTACATCTATCCATTAATCCTTGGGGAAGAAGGGTTCAAAATATTTTCAGATTAAATGCTATTTTTTCACTGGCAAAAAAGTATTGCCTACTGGTACTCACTTATTAATGTCTAATATAATAGGTGGGTATATAAATACAACAATATTTCAATCCATTCGATATTCCTATATGCCACAACATTTTTCAAGTAATGCTGTCTCTTTCATATTAAGAAAAACATTATTTTTGGAGCCATAAGCTTGGTCACATTTCCTCCTTTCAAGTTCAGAGACAGGACTCTAATTTTGAAAGGGGAAATTTTATATTGGGAAACTTTTATATTGGTACACCCAGTCTGCAAATAAACATAGCATTTTAGACCATAACATAAGCTGGCTGAAATTTATTCACTTCAATTGCAAGCAATAAGTTTGGTGTTAGGTTAGTTGAAGAATTCAACTGTTATTGCACTGTCTAGCTCATTTGCAAGAAATATTACCTTCTTCCATATCCTGTTGAATTTGAATTGCCTCTAGTCTGTATTTCTGTATTCCAAATATTTGCATCACCAGACACAGGACAAAAATTAAGTGGCATTAAAATCTGCATATTCATTTTCACTGTAAAGGCATATAATTGCATATACTTTCCATTCTTTGATTTCCATCCAGTTTAAATTCTGATTCTCAAGTCAATGAGTGATACAAGAGGAATGTGCAGTATACACAAAGGCATCTTCTTAGCTGAATTGGGTCCAGAAAAGAGAATAAACTCAACATTACTACTTTGTAAAATCTTTTTAACTCTGCAATGTTTTTCATGTTTCTCTTTTTGTAAATGTATTATAAAACTAAAATTAAACATGTTTTTAAAAAGCAGAAACATTATTTGAGTGGAAGAAGGAAAGGAAGGAAGGAAGGAAGGAAGGAAGGAAGGAAGGAAGGAAGGAAGGAAGGAAGGAAGGAAGGAAGGAAGGAAGTTAAAGCATTTTTCTGGCTATATACAACACTTCAGATAAAATACCCCAAGGACATACTGTATGTAGCAGAAAAAATTCCTAGTTGGCCTTTATGCATATGCAGACACTTGTTCCATACATTCATTTAATTGCTGGTTGAATTTATATTGCACTTTACCTCCAAGAGCTGAAGTCTTCATTTTATCTCTACAACAAGAACTGTGTAAGGAAAGGTGGCCTGAGAAAGTGTGGTCCAAAGTTTTTCATGTAAGCTTCAATGTCTTAAAAAGAGTTTGAACCCCAATCCTCATCCAAAACCTTAACCATAAGATCACACTGGCCCCCTTACTCCATGAACCAGTATCTTGAATGTCAGTGACTACAATCACAACACATGAAAGCTGAAGTCAGACCTTAGATAAGAGCATATCTGATCAATGATTCACTGGTTGATTTTACATTCGTCTCCCTGATGTGAAATTCTATCTTAGTGTTGTGGGTTGGCCTGCTGAACATCGAAAGATGAATGACACACCCGGTCCTCTACCTGTGGATCCATAGACACAGCAGATATAGTGCTTCCAACTTAGGATGTCATCTATTCAAGCCTTGAAACTTTGCGTGGTGTCACAAGCTATCAGTTATCTGTGCAGGAGAACAAAGGTAAAAGGGAAAGGGTATTTTTTTAAAAGAGAAAATAAAATGCTGTAGTTAGCAGGAGATTATTTTTAACAAATTTGTAAGAAGGATAATTTTGGCTACAAAATTAAAATATCCAAGGAAGAAATATTAGACTGTTTCAAGGATCTTAATAGTTTGGTGACTAGGGCTATACTTAGAATTGGATGAGTTGCTGCCATTCAAGTGTGTGCCACCTGGATTTTCCATTTGTTCCCTGGTTTGGGGAAGGAATTGGACTATTTTTGAGTGTTTTTCACTGATTTGCTATCTTGAGGCTCTTATTTCAGCTTTATGTGTTGCTTTTTCAAGTAGTAAGAAATGATTTGTGTACTACAAACTATTAGCCTTTTGGCAAGCTGAGAAGACCTGATGCTTCATCGAGGATCTGGGCTATGATAGAAGCGAGCCTAGAAAATGTAAGAGCATGAAGAGGCTACTGTTTATGTTGTTGTGGTGCTGTGTTGGGGATATGTGGTGCTGTTGTGCAGTTGATTTATTTTCTTTATTCAAGTTTGATATAATATCACGGCAGCTGCTTAGAGTTATCTTGTATAAGATAGATGGCCATGTAAGTTTCTAAATCTCTTTAGCAGCACAGTTGAGAAGAAAAGACACTGAGCTACATATAGCCTAAACCAAAGGCTTTGCACCCTGGTTTATTCAAGGTAATAGTATGGCTCACATATGTGTTCTACCCTTCATCCAAGAAATTCAAGGTAGAAGTGAAAAGAAGAGATGATTTTGCTGCAGCTGGGACTCAAGTATTTGATAAAATAATGAAAAAAATGTATTGTTAAATGAAATCCACCCTTTTCTCATCCTTGCTTGTACTCTTGAACAGGAATATAGGACTCAAATTTTTGTTTTGCTACTGTATATCAATGTCACTTTCTCCTGAATCTTTACTCTTCATGCATTGTATATTATCATTTCCTGAGTGAACCATATCTTTTTTTTCAATTTGGTCATCCTCGTATCCTTTCCACGTTTTGTTGTGTCTATTTCAAGATGTATTAAATTATTCTAAAACCAATCTGATTGTCTTCTTCCCAGCCTCTTCAAAAGTCTAGATTATTTTTAAGCTTAAAAAGATCAGGCTTGGTTCTGATGCAGATTCACAGCTGATCAGCACAAGCTCTTCTGGTTTAGACTGGGAAAACTTGTTCCCAAGTTCAGTTGTTAATCTTCTGAATATGTAATAATAAAATGGAGGGTGTGTTTTCCAGAGAAGAATAATTCCTGCTTCACATAAGACTATACACATCTAACTCACCTTGTGAGTGCTCACCTATTACAGTATCATTGAAAAAGATATTTCTTCCTAATGTCTTATCTTTTATCTTTAAAACATCAATGGCCTTCAATAAATAAACTGTTAAAGTTGAAATAATAGACTTCTAAGTTTCCTGTGCTCTGCTTATGTCCCTCTCACATTTTATCTTTACTTCTGTTAATTCCAGGACTTGTCTGGGACAACAAACCTGAGTGTAATTTTTTTAGAGATAGGGAGAGCCAAGAAGAACAGTGTTTGCTGATGCAGCTCTCCAAGGAAAACCCGGAACTAACAGATGCTGGAATAAGAAAATATTTCTACTTCAAAAAAAGGGGGAAGGTTCAGGAGAAAATTGACTGATGGGATCCTTTGACTTTTTAAAGGTATGCTATCTCTCTTAGTTACCCTAAATCCAATAAGAAAGAAACAAAGATCTTTTATATTGTTCCATTTGTAACCTGACTCAAAATCAGTTCAGCCTTATAAGAACTCCTTATTGTGCTGCCTATCGTAGCTTGTCTGTTGTATAATTGGCTGAATATTCTTGACTGTCACATCTTCATCTGTTTTTAATTTGCATTTATTTTTATTAATTTCTAAATAAATAAATTTGCACCTATCATAGAAATCTGTTGTGGGTCACTTCTTCCTGTCCATATGAAGCAGAAGAAACATTTTTTGCCATACAGATTATGTTTTGATTCCTTATCAGAAGGAGAAATCATCCATGCATTCCTTTCATATATGTTATAAAATCCAAAATATATAAAATGGTAACAATGACTAGTAGTGTTTACTACCTGACTGATCTTATTATTAACCAAGATGTGCATTTAAAAGACATGTCCTGTTCTCAAGCCACCTCCTTCCCATCTCACATAATTGGAAGACTCCCCTGAGTACATAAGAATTCTCTTTGCTTCTTTGGGTTATATTTCAACAGCTGCTTCTGTAGGCTTCCAAATTTGCAGATAAAAGGAATAAGGTTGCAATGATCCAGATTTGAAGGCACAAAGATAATTTGGAACATATTTGAGTATGGATCAAATGATCAAAATATAATGAATGATTAAATCAAATTTTTTTTCCTGTGGGATTGTGCTGGAGCCCAGGAAAAGATGCAGTTTCTTGAAGCAGTTGTCAACAGACACTTCTATGTATGTTCTGAATCATCTTTTCTTGCTGAATCTGGATCAGTGCATCACCCAAACATGTAATCTTTGGCCAGGGAGGCTACTCGCTATGATGTGAATGAAAGCTTGCAAAATTCATTGGGCTTCTGGATGTTTCCTGTGTATTTCTTTGAAATCCTAGGCAAAAAGTACCAGACGTCCAGAAAAGAAATATCTGATAAAATTGTGTAATTATTGTGGCCAGAATCGACAGAAGACAATATTTGTAGCTCAGAGTTGAACTGTGGGGTCCTTGGTGCTCTCTGAGCTTGGTTGTTTTCTTGCAGACATTTCATTACCAAACTGGGTAACATCATCAGCCCTACTAGGAAGTGGGGTCTGACCACAGTATGGTCAGAATATAGTTCAGAATCAAAATACCTTTTGCTAATGCTGTTGACCCCCTTTCTCCTTCTTTTCCCACAGAATAAATACCATGTGAATTTAGATGGAACAGCTGCAGTTCCCATACCTGTTATTGGGTGACAGTCTTCTATTTAAGGAGGATTCTGAATACCATGAGCACTTCTATAAGGATCTGGCATTGTGGAGCTATTGTATATCATGAGCCAACTGATGAGCCAAAGTCTTTGCTAGAAAAGGTCTTTGGCAGGAAATCTTTGCCAGAAAAGAAGAGTGAAATAACATTGTCTAGCTGTAGACAATGTTGAAGGAGTCTAAATTTCTTCTCTCATCTTTCCTATGAGAAAAAAGGAATTGGAAGATGAAACTCCATCTGAGCAGATCACAACTGCAATATATCGAAACAGATAGTATGCAGCTTAGTAACATTAATATACTAAGACATATTTATCTACACTTATTTCTAAATACTGCAGTTGAAAAATTCCTGATCCAGATAAAAGACGTGACCTTTGAAAGATAGCACTGGAATCACTAAAGACCAAAGAGATTCCTAACATTACTGTTTTCAATCTTCTAAAACCTAGTTCTTTTTTTCAGGGATAAACTGTTCCTAAACTGCATAGCAAAAGCCTAAGATTGAAAATCAGGCTTGTCAGATGTTATATTTTTTCTATCCTGCTCTATGGAGTAAAGAGTTGGTCTTGACAGAAGGCCACCTGAAGAGACTAGAAGCATTTGGAATGTGGATTTACAGGCGGCTGTTACGTATAAACTGGGCTGACAAGATCAGAAATGAGGAGGTGATAAGCCGCCTGGGAAAGCCAAGGGAAATCATCAAAACAAAAAACGAAAGTTAGAATATTTCGGACATGTGATGCAACACCCAGAAAAATACGGCATACTCCATTTAATCCTCCAGGGCAAGATTGAAGGCAAACGAGGTCCAGGCAGAAGAAGAACATCATGGCTTCAAAATATAAGGGACTGGTTTGGACAAAACTCAGCAGCACTTTTTCATGCGGCTGCTGATTAAAAACATGATCGCCAACATGATCACCAACGTCCGATAACGGATATGGCACAAGAAGAAGAAGAAGAAGATATCAATGAAAAGACAATTACAGCCGTATTCTAAGTGATCAAAATTATGTGAGAGAAGTTGGATGTGTTTCCATGCTAGCTCCCCCAAATTATGAAAACCCTTTCCTTGATTGTTTTAAAGTGCAACTGGAGCAAGTCATATTGAAGAGTTGGTTGCACACATAAATATGAAAAGACTGGAACTAACACTGCAACATGGCATAGGACCTAGATATTTCCAGTTGTCTCTACGCGTCTGGTATGTTCTGGCACAGCAAGTGCATTCCAGGCCCTTTCTACATGCAATCTTCAACTTAACAACTATTCATTTAGCAAATGAATTCTCAGTCATCCAGGTCATGGTTGTCCCAAAGGTGCTTTTCTAAAAAGCAACTGGACTTACTTGATTTTTTTTCTCTGAAAACATTTCACTTCTCATCCAAGAAGAAAACTGAAGAAGCTTCTTGGATGAGGAGCAAAACATTTTCAAAGAAAAAAACCACGAAAGTCCAGTTGCCTTTTGGAAAGGCACTTTTGGAACATTCATTTGGCAACTCTTCAAAATTACAATGGCACTGAAAAAAGGGACTTATGACCGATCCTCACATTTACAACTGTTGCAATATTCCCATGGTCACATGATCAAAATTCAGGGACTTGGCAACCAGCCCGTATTTCTGACAATTGCAGAGTCCTGGGATCATTATCTCCATTTGTGACTTTGCAAGGCAGTTTCCGACAAGCAAGTCAATGGATTCACTTAACAACTGTGTGATTCACTTAATAACTGGGATGATTCGCTTAACAACTGTGGCAAAAAGGTCATAAAATTTGGTGTGGTTCACTTAACAACCACCTTGCTTAGTAATGGAATTTCTGACCCCAACTGTGGTCATAAGTTAAGGATTACCTGTAGTAAACATTGTCATCTTATAGGATGGAGCATGGTGGCTCACATGGTTTCATTCACTGACCATTTAAAGTTAAAACAGTGCCGAAAAATGGACTAACAACCAGTGATTGCACTTATGACCATCACAGCCACATGAGAAAAATTCAGTGAGTATTGCGTGTTCACAAAAAAATGGATTACTTCAGTAAATCAAGTTAAGCTTTGTAACATACGTTAAGCTTGGTTTACTGAATGGGTGGAAACTAATCAAGGAGAGAAGCAACCTAGAACTAAGGAGAAATTTCCTAACAGTGAAAACAATTACCCAGTGGAACAGCTTACCTTCAGACGTTGTGGGTGTTCCATCACTGGAGGCATTTAAGAAAAGACTGGACAGCTACTTGTCTGGAATGGTAACTTCAGGTTGGATTAGAAGACCTCCGAGAACCCTTCTGACTCTTTTATTCTGTTAAGCTACTTGTTTGAATCCAACCTGTCACTTGAGTCTTCTTCCTTTTTTATCATTTGTAACATTTTATTATTTTATAGAGTAAAATACAAAATACAAAGCAAATAGTAGGACACAGGGGGGAGAGAAAAGGAAAAGAAAAGGGGGGGGAGAAGAGGGGGGGAAGAAAAGGCATTGACTTCCAACTTCCTCTGTTGCAGTAGAATGAAGCATTAACATCGAACCTCAACTTTTTACTTTTCCGTAATAGCACAAACTAGCCATTTCTATAACACTTGATTCTTGGATTATTTTATTCAACATTTGTTTCATTATTGCAATGGATGAATCAAATCACATTGGCTTATACAAACTACAGAATGGCCATCCCTATATAATGCATGAGTCATTGCTTTTTGTTTCTCAGGAAAACCATGAAGATCTCAGAACAATTGCTAAGAAAGGGCAGAAAGCTGAACTACTCTAGCCTCACCGGGTTTTTTCAAAGTGTTCCAGGTTTGTGCCTAAGGCCTGATGTTTCTAACTAGACATAGTACATTCCTTCTCTTCTTTCAAAGGACCCCGGTATCTTTTTAATCTCACGATCTGCTTCAAATTAAACAAAAAAGAATGTTCTGGTAAGATTTATGATTGTGGGTGAATTATGCAGGAAACAGAGAGAAATCAGCTAATTATAGATAGAAATATATACAAAATGGGAAAATGTTTTGTTTTAAATCCAACAAAACCATTGTATTCCAGAGTGTCTTCTGAACTCTTTTGGATCAGTCATGGTTTGACAGAACCAGACCCTGGAATACTATGGTGATTCCAGGTTTTGGGCAAACTAAAGTACAGACAGAGCAGGGCCAATCTGCTATTTATCACCTTCTCTCTCTCTTCCATCAGAAATTTCCAACTTGATGTCCCTGCCATCTTCTCAGCACTTTCTCCTCCCCTTGGCTGCTTCTGCCGCTAATGTTCTCCCTTTGGAGATGCATATCCCTTTGGGGCTCCATCCTTCAGCCACCATTCCTGCAGATGTCCTACTGTAGTGTATTCTATAGTCAGTCCCTGGGTTAAGAACGTCTGACTTATGGACAAGTCATACTTACACATGGGCTGCCTACCACTAAGAACGGTGGATGGCATTCTCCTTCCTTGACCTGATGAACTGCTGAAGCTGTGCAATGTTTTTATGAACCAGTGAAGCCGTGCATTTTTAATATGCAATCCGTTTTCAGTGGTTCATGAAAACATTGCTCAGCTTCAGCCATTCATCAGTTTCGAGGAGGGAGAACGCTGTCTGCCATTTTCAGTAATAGGCAGTAATAGTCTGTTCATAAATACAAGTTCTGACCTACATACAAATTCAAGTTAAAGACAGACTTAGGAACGGATCTCATTCTTAACCCAGGGGACTACCTGTACTAGCATCTAGGCAGGGATTCTCAAAGTGTGTTTTTCGGCACTGATTTTCCTGGAGATTCACTAAGTGATCCACCGCAGACCCCAGACGGCCACTATCTAGAGTACACCCATGAATGGTGCCCCCACTTCACCACATGTGTTGACAGTCAGTTGTCCGAAGCCCAATCATATCTCAGTGCTCACTTTTTCAAGTTCATTGGCATTCAGCTGAACAGAGCCAACTGACTGTCCTTGATCTCTCCAAGCTGTTGTAGTTAAATGACAGCAGCTTTTTTTTAACCGTATATATTAAAAGGGAATAAGATAAAACCACAAAAATTCAGTGAACAGGATTACTTACACTTTAGAGCCCATTTTAATCTTTTAGTTCATTAGAGTAGGTTTTTTTAAAAAATTTCTTAGTATAAAGGTAGTGCTCAACTGCGAGAGACTCAGAATTGCCTAAAATATGGAGGTCTGTATTAGTGTTTTAAGTGAAAAAGTGAAATACAGGGTAGTCCTCAACTTACAACAGTTCATTTAGTGATCGTTCAAAGTTACAACAGCACTGAAAAAAGTGACTATGAACCATTTTTCACAGTTACAACCTTTGCAGCATCCCCATGTTCATGTGGTCAACATTCAGAAGCTAGGCAACTGGTACATACTGGTGAGCGTTGCTGTATCCCAAGGTCATGTGATCACGTTCTGCAACCTTCTGACAAGTAAAGTCAATGGGAAAGCCAAATTCATTTAACAGTCGTGTTACTACTTAACAACTGCAGTGATGCACTTAACAACTGTGGCAAGAAATGTTGTAAAATGGGGCAAAACTCGCTTAAAACTGTCTCACTTAGCAACTGAAATTTCAGGCTCAATTGTGGTCATAAGTAGAGATGGGAAGGCCTGGGAAAAAACCCAGAAATATTGGGGGGGGATGGGGTTTTTTATGTTTTTCCCCCTTTTTTCCAAAGCCATTTGGAAAAACTTTTTTCCCCCCAATTTTTCCAGTTTTTTCCAGGCCTTCCCATCTCTAGTCATAAGTCAAGGCCTACTCGTAATGGCTTTTCTATGAATTGATCAGTGGGCTGCTACCTTGCTATCCTCAGAAGTTGCAGAATTTGCAGATGGAAGCTTTCTCCTGAAGATCCGTCAGGATGCGGATGGGCCTTTAGAGGCCCCATATCCCTATATATAATGATAGACAGCTGATGTAGTCCACTCATCACCTCAGCTTCACTCCCTGGCCACAGCCTTCTCACTGCCTTACTCCCACCTTGTGTTGATGGGCAGATACAGAGTCACAGTCCTTTAAAGTAATTTCCTTCCCACATTCTGTCGAGTTGCAAATAATGAAAATGCTTAAAAAACATGAGCATGAATTTCTAACAACTTTTTAATCCCACAGCACGACAACTCCAATTTAATCAGGAGGAAGTCCTTTAATGATGTTTGCTCTAGATCTGTATTTGTGATACCACTGGTTTACCAGGAAGAAAAACATAAGATGAAAATGAAAAAGTGAAAAAGCGTAAAGAATAATGGTTAAAGAGAAGATTCGGATAGAAAAAGGGGAAACACTTTGTTTTAATAATGTGCTGTTCAGTTTTTTTTGAGCCAGGTTTACTTATTTCAGATATATGCTCAACACCAAGCCAGTAGACCTGAAATACGAGAATTTACACCTCAGCTTGATGACAGGACTGCAATTGCCACAGGAAAACGCCTTCTGTGGAAGAACTTTAAGTAAATGGTGCCAAAGTGTGTGTTGCAACAGTGATGCAAGATTTTTAATGACATTTAAAGCACTAAAATCTAGCACAGATAAATATTTACAAAACAATGTTACACATGAACGCGGTTTAATGTGGTTTAATGTGCTTCACTTAACAACCACGTTGCCAGTTCCAGTTGTGATTGCTAAACAAGGACCACCTGTATGGTGAAATTATATCTCCTGAACTATGTGAATATTTATGCTAACTTGGAAGCCATATTCAGATGACTTACAAATGTTCAAGGTAATCCATGTTGCAATCCTTGCCACAACTGTCTAAAGTAGACCAGATTTATTATTTAAATCAGGGGTCCCCAACCCCCGGTCCATGGAACAGTACTGGTCCGTGGCCCGTTGGGAACCAGGCAGTGCAAATGGCAAGCACATGGAGCTTTATTTGCCCATGAACAGGATTAGGTTGCATGTGTGAAACCATTTCCTACTGCTGCCACCACTACCTATCTATGGACCCCAAAATATTGGGGGCTGCTGATTTAAATCAGTAACTCCAAACTTTGAGTCCTCAGATGTTGGATTACACTCAGTCCCCATCACCACTGCTCATCACAAGTAGGAGAGAAAGGGAATTGTAATGCCTGTAAACCAAGACTGGGAAACTGAAATTGCTGCAATGTTAACTGAGAAAACACAACCTTCCCCAGTGGCTTGTAAAATGCTAAGGGAAGAATAAATCGGAGAGGTTCCTTTTATACCATTTTTTAAAACAAAAGTCTTGGCTTGACTTTACATAGCTGCCTGTATCAAGGCTATTCTTTTGATATTTTTGTGCAGTGCTTTTTTTCTAAAAAAAAAAAAAAAGGAGCTGGAACTCACACATGTCATACAACCCACCTTGCCTACCCTACAAGGTTCCATCCAAAAAAGGTGCCGGAACTCCATTCTGGGCGTTCTATGAGAAAAAAAGCCCTGTTTTTGTGAAGGACTTGCTGTTAAATAGCCTAGCACTTCAAAGTGAGTTAAAGGTAACTTTCCAGGTTAAGAATTTATTCTAAAAGAACTACATAACCATAAGGACTCTGTAGAGCTCTTAGCTCAGGGGTCTTCAAACTTGGCCCTTTTATGACTGTGGACTTCAACTCCCAGAATTCCTCAGCCAGCATGCCTGGCTGAGGAATTCTGGGAGTTGAAGTCCACAAGTCATAAAAGGGCCAAGTTTGAAGACCCCTGTCTTAGCTGCTGTTTAGCATCTTGGTACGAAGCTTGAAGGATTTTAGCTCTTAATGTAGAGAGCCAAATATAGAGTTATTTTTAAAGAGTAAAAAATAAGAGATTGTATGGCTCAACCTTGGCAGCTTGAAGATATATGGACTTCAACTCCCAGAACCTCCCATGGCTGGCTGGGGAATTGTAGGAGTTGAAGCCCACACATCTACAGGTTGCGAAGGTTGAGAAACACTGCTGGAGGGTGACTTGGAGCTGGCTGTGGGAAGAAGGCAGTGGAAGCTGTATGGCTTTCTCCATGTAGTCACCAAGAGTCAAGACTAACTTGATGGCACATGTGCGCACATACACAAAAGCTCCCAATTAGAAATGGGCAGAATATCCATTCCCTCTCTGAATTTCAAATCCAAATTAATCTTCTTCCCTATTCTGCTAGCTTCCAGGTATGCTGGGGCTGCAACTCCCCGGAAAAGCCTGATTAGCATGTTTGGCAGGCCATGCAAATGAAAGTTGCATTCTCTACAAATAGCTTTGGTAGGCAGGTGAAATCACAGCTTCCTGAGTTAGTGTCTGTGGGTCTCAGTGTTCTGTCTGCAAGTTGCATCTTGATTTCCAAACACAGACCTACCCAAAAGTTGCCCAACAGGCTCTATAAATTAGGTCACTCTGCAGTGGATAGGAATATCTTTTGAAGTTGCTCAGTGGCTAGACCTCTTTCCCATTAACAGGAAATGAAAGCTTGCATGAATCTGCCATCCCTAGAAGCTTGGTAATGGAAGTGAGCAACCACAGCAGTTACGTGTTGGTTCAAAGGAGCCAAATAATTTCCTACCATCAAAAAGGATTTACAGAGATACAATCTGGTCAAAACTAAAAAGCAACTTCTGATTTATGAGAAAAGCTTTGTGGTATATTGTTTTGCACAGGAAATACACATGGGAAAAAAATCAGTAAGGCTGTAACTTGATACTGATTTCTTAAGAGTAACTTGTGTGTGCTCACTTGAGCTTACCTTCCGGAAAGGTAAGTACAGAGTTACTTATCCATACTTTTTAATAGTGCAAATGGTGCTCAGTGGTTACTTATCTCAAATAAAAGAAGTCTGCTTTGAATGTGGGTCATTGATCCAGATAGTATTGTTTCAGTTCTGCCTCCTGGACATTGTTTAAATTAATAACTCTTAAAAAAACAAAGTGGCCATACTAAAACAATAACAGGTTTCACTTTAATACGTCAAACTTTTGGCTGCATAATTCTCATAATTAACTCAGAGGGAGTGTCTTTTTAAAGTTGCCAAGGCTATTAAAATAGTAAATATTTTGATGAGCACCAGTGACAATACAGCCCAACTTAATTACATTTAACCTTGCAAGTGTGAATGCCTCTTTGCTAGATTACATGAACATTATTTGGCTACAGGTCTCATTAATTAATTTGGTGAGAGGAGACAAGTCAAAATCTTCTCCACTAAAATAATTATTTTGAATCATGTTACATACAGGTAATCCTTGATTTACAACTCATTGCTTAAGTGATTGTTCTAAATTTGGGGTGTGTGTGCCTACAATCCAGATCTGGGGTTCCAACAGCCCCCCCCAACACGTGGTCATGTCAGCCTTTCAGGAACTCAGCAACTGGGTTGTATTCATTTTTACAAGGATTTCCTTCACGTTTTTGACAAAACCAGGCCCATTGTGAAATACTGGCTTGGCATTCATTTAACAACTGTGGCAACTGCAGTGCTCACTTAATGACTGCCTCAAAAAAAGGTTTTAAATTGGGGCACTGATGAAAGCATGAGTTCCCACGAGCCAACTATGTTAACCAATAGGTAATTCTTGAGTTACGACCACAATTGAGCCCATAAATTGTGTTGTTAAGCAAGACATTTGTTAAGTGAGTTTTGTTCCATTTTACAACCTTTCTTGCCACAGTTGTTAAATGTATCACTGCAGTTGTTTAGTAACATGGTTGTTAAGTGAATCTGGTTCTCCCATTGACTTTGCTTGTCAGGAGGTTGCAAAAGGGGATCACATGACCCTGGGACATTGTCACCGTAATAAATATGAGTCAGGTGCTAAGCATGTTAATTTTGGTCACATGACCATGGAGATGCTGCAACGTTAATAAACGGTAATAAATCACTTTTTTCAGCGCCATTGTAAAAACGGTAATAAATCACTTTTTTCAGCGCCGTTGTAACTTTGAACGGTCAATAAATGAACTGTTGTAAGTTGAGGATTTCTTGTACAGAAGCATCAGAACAGATATCAGTCCATCTTTAAGGAAAATAACACTTTCAGATATATTTTGAGTAACTGTATTATGTGCAATTTTAGATTCTTCAGTTTTTAATTAACAGAATTATTGAAATAAATTTTTTACATTCATTAAAACTGTCCCAAATATTTAGATCTTTATAGCAATAAATTACAAATTGATCTTTCCTCTTTTGTCAATTTATCCCTGCTTCGATCAAGACTATACAACGAGCTTCCATTTTTAAAGGCTGTCATTTGCCAGAATTATTACACCACAATTACTCTTGCTAGTTGCCTTTCCACGGAGTCTTTAGCTAGGGATCCCATTTTCAGAATGCAGGTGTGACTACTGTACATGTTCACAAGCGTCTGCAGCAATGTACACAAACACAAATCCATTGCCAGGAGAAAAAAAAATCACCTTTATTAAAATTATTCACCGATAAATGCCTTTTGGGCTAAGGTGGTTGTAAACATCAGAGGGCTCTTGCAGGAAACGGATTATCTGGATCCCTTCCAGTTGGGATCTAGACAAAAGCACTACTACAGGAAGAGAGCAAAAACTGCCGATAAGAAAAATAAAACCCTTTCCCACCGAGAGCAAGTAGCTTATGAGCTGTTTTTGCAGGAGGCATACAAAACAGCCCAAACGGGGCTCCTGCAGGGCAGAGGGCATTGCATTCGCAGCTCAAGACAAAAACCACGCAGAAAGAGACGCCCGACTCTTTTGCGGCGTCGGTCTCCGAGGCCAGCCGCCTTCCTTTCCCCGGCCTGCCGTCTGCGTCTCGCCGCCAAGTGGCTGCTGTGGCAACCGAAAAGCGTTCCACGACCGGTTTAAAGTCGCCTCCACCGGAGACCGAAGAGCATCACTGGGCTCCGGGCCGGTTCCACCTTAATCAGGCAGGCTTCGGGATCGGAAGCAGGGAACGGGACGGCCGAGGCGAGGCCCGGGGACAGGGTTGCAGCCAGGGAGGGTTAAAACTGTATTTCTCAAATTGGGCAAAGTTAAGATAATGTGGACTTCAACTTCCAGAATTCCTCAGCCAGCCATGCTTGTCTGAGGAATTCTGGGAGTTGAAGTCCACACATCTTAAAAGTTGCCAAGTTTGGGGAAAAAAATGGTTAAAATGTCCATCAATTCACCTACAAACTCGCAAACAGCTTTATGCAGTGCTTAATCTGTTGTATTCACACAGTTGGTGCTTGGGTTTGTTTGTTTGTTTGTTTGTTTGTTTTCCTGGTGTGTATTATGCAACTCCATAACACTGAAGATGAAACAGACCTCAGAAAAGTCCTTCAGGATGGCATCAGCAACAAAGAGGATCCTACGTGGTCTTTCATGTTTATCCATTAGATTTCTGGTTTTCAGAAAATAAACCGTACTCTGGTAAAGTGTAACTGTGGGAGAAATTAATCTGGATCCTGCTTCCTATGGAAAACAGAGTTCGCTGCTTATTCTGGGCCTTGAAGGTTGAAAGCAGAATTATGAATCGAGGTTGGCAGCAATATAGTACCTAATAGCAATGACTTAATAACAACATAATTAATATATGCATGAAATCTGATTTTAACCAATGGAAAGTTGAAAACCATCTTCAAAGACAGTCTATGTACAGCTCATGGCAAGAATAATCTAATAATCTAGATATGTCTGCGGTTCGGTTTCTCCTTTCTACATTGTTTTCTAAAGGATTAAACACTTAGAATTCCATTTAATATGCTGTGAACATTTTTATTCGTCTCTAGATTACTGCACACTTCTTTTTAAACCACAGCATACCTGGGAAGTATTGCGGGTTTGGGTCCAGACTACTGCAATAGAGCAAATATCACAATAAAGCAAGGAACATGAGTGTTTTGGTTTCCTGCGCATATAAAAGTAACATTTACACTATATTGTAGTCTCTTAAATGTACAATAGTATTAGGTCTACACCTCCTGTCCCAATATACTGTACATACCACAATTTAAAAATACTTTATTCCCAGAAAATTCTATAATGTGAATATTCCTAAAAATCATTATCTGAGCCTTCAATGAGGCATAATCTTTTTGCTGCTGAAGGTGCAAAGCTCAATGAACTGAAGCACAATAAAACAAGGTTTTGGTTAAGTACCAGTTTATTGCCAATGTCATTTCAGAGTAAGAGCTAAAAATGTGATGAAAAGAATTCTTACAGTGCAATTGCTGAAATCTGTTGGAAACTGCAAAGAACCTATAGGTCAAGTTTCTTAACCTTTTTTCCTCTTGGGACTCCCTTCCCATTTTAAAAAATTATGGAGGAACCTCAAAGATCTTTTGTTTGTATGGGTTATATTTATCAATATTTACTGTATTAAAAATTAATATTGGTGATTTGCTGCTGCTACCACATATCACAATTGTTTGATGGAATTTTAATGCATTATTTTTCAACATAGGTTGGCAAATCATTTTTATTTCATAGGCCTCTGTGAAACTAGGACCTCTCATAGGACCACACTTTATTAAATACTGCCATAGACTAAACAGTTTGCTGGGTCCTTGGTTCTCTCCGAACTTGGTTGATTTTTGGAGATGTTTCAGTAGAGCACTGATGATGTTACCTAGTTTGGTAATGAAACGTCTGCAAGAAAACAAACTCAGAGAGCACCAAGGATCTCTGTTCAACTCTGAGCTACCAATATTCTCTTCTGTCAGTATTAAAGAGTTTATATGTTATAGTTTTTCATTTTTTTTACTTTTAATCCTTTTTAGATGTGCTGATGATCAGCAGTATTCGTATTCGTGAATGAGTGCTAAACCTATTCCCCCTTCAAACTATAAAATACCAAACCATGGAAATTATCACCAATTTTTTTTCCTAAGTCATGAATAGCATAGTAATCCACAGTTTTGATTTTTTTCCCCAGCACCAAACATAGTACTACAATGCAGGCCGACTACAAGAAAAAATATGGGTAAGACTATAATTATCTCATAGCAGGAGTGTATATTTACATCTTTTAGTAAGGGTGGGGGGGGGCAATCTTTTAGTGTTTACTGTGGAGAGATGCATGGTATAATTTTGAGGGGGTGCACTGTTTACATTGCTGGATCCATCTCATACAAGTGAAAAAAGCCAAGGGTATTTGGATCAAGGGAAGTTTTCTTTGTTGTTAATTGTAATAGGGTTATTTTAAAACTATAATGTTTGATCTTTTCTTGCTTCAGTGTCATGGGAAATTATACAGTTTTCACCAGTTGCACTCACTTTCAGCCATAGACTTCAAATTGCCTTAAGCAAAGAATTCTCTAGTGCGCTGTTTCTCAACTTCAGTTATTTTAAAATAGGTAGACTTCAGCTCTCAAAATTCACTAGCCAGCATGGGGAATTCTGGGAGTTGAAGTCCACACATCTTAAAATTGCTGAGGTTGAGGTTGCTCTAGTGCAGTGATGACGAACCTTTTAGAGGCCGAGTGCCCAAACTGCAACCCAAAACCCACTTATGCATCGTCGGGTGCCGGGTGGGTGTGGCCCGTTGGCTGAGTGTGGCCCATTGGCTGGGTGTAGCCAATTGGGTGGGTGTGGTCCATTGGGTGGGCGTGGTGCGGTGGTAACGGCAGACTGGGTAACGGCAGACTAAAAAGTTCAATCAATTCCAACTTTGCAAGATCTTTTTTTTTCCAGTGAGAAGTTGAAATTGACTGATTGAACCTTTTTTTTTTTTGCACACAGCGGCGGAGGCCTAAAGCGAAAAGGTTTTACAAAACCCAGCTGAAGGCCTAGGACTGGGGCGACGGCGCGCGTGCCCATAGAGAGGGCTCAGGGTGCCGCCTCTGGCACCCGTGCCATAGGTTCGCCACCACTGCTCTAGTGGCTGAGGAAGTTTAGGACAGTAAGTTGAAAAGTGGTGGGTCTCAACTCCTCTCTTCTAGGAGTCCTTTAGGTTTTATGTACACTGGTCCTACTTCCTGCATGGTCAGCTAATTGGTAGTACTTAGTACTTGGTGTAAAATTTTTAAGTTGTCTCTATAGATCTGTATTCAATGTCCCCAATACAATGTATGAGAGATTGATGTTTAAGCTACTGTTTGTGATTTTATCAGCAGGGTGGTTCTTATTTCATTTATCCAGATTTGGTTTTGGCATATTTTTATTTGCATTTTTAAAAGTCATTTGGATTTCTATATAAATTATGTAATATCAAACTCTACTTCATGGCTGTGTAATATTGAAAGGGGGAATTTTAAAATAAGGAAAAATCCAACATTATTATGCAAATAATTATTTCATAATAGAGCATAAATGGTATCATGGAAATTTTATTTTAAGAAATTCTGGAAAACGTATTATAAATCCAAAGAATGTGTTAGAATTGTTCTATGATAAGAAAGAAGAGAAAAAGGATAAAGCAGCACATGTCATTCAAAAAACCTGGAGAAGATGGCTGGTAAGTTAACAATACTTCCACTTTCATCCCTCTTTCTAGAGTAATATGCTTTTTGAGCTTTTCAGGTGTATTTATGTAGATGTCTACACATTTTGGATGGACTGGAACCTGTGGGTTCCAAGATTGTTGCATTCTTAAGGGACAAGATGTCATATTGCATCTACACACTTATTCCCTTTTGTGGCTGAAAGTTTGAAGCTGCAGAAGATGGGAGCACCTTGTATCTATAAAAAAAAACTCTATCCTTTCCATCTCTTCAGGGATTCACACATCATAATCAACAATTGTGTGAGTTGCAGTTCTTTGCTGAGTGTGATATGTGATCCGAGTGGTTTTGGTTTGTAATCTGTGGTTGATGGTTTAAGAAAATGTGTGAAGCCAGGCAATTATGGTTTACTCAATAAATCATGGTTAATCAAGCAATGGCTACTATTGATACATTTTCCTGATATGGCAACCAATGATGAATTTTAAAAATAAAAAAGAGCTCTATTTAATCTGGAGAATTTGAAGCTTAGATGAGTTGAATTATAGTCAGAAGGGGTCATCTACGACAGGGGTCCCTAATCCCCAGTTCACGACCTGTTGGGAACCTGGCCATGCAAACACTGGGTGAGCATGTAAAACTCCATGTATGCATGGTGTGGGATTAGGTTGTTTGTGTGAAACCATCCCCTCCTCCCCTGTTACTTCCGCTGCTGGTCCACTGAGCTGGAAAGGTTGGGGACCACTGATCTACAGTCTTGACTCCAACCTTCTCTTTAATACTTGAGCTTCTTTTTGAACACATGAAGGATTACCTGAGGGACTATCTTTTTCCAAGAATCTCTCCCCATCCAATTCAATCCAGCAGATTGGGCATGCTGCAGATCCCATCAGCCAAAGAGTGTCGGTTGGTGGGGACTAGAAGACGGGCTTTTTCCAGAGTATTCCTCTGTGGAATATTCTCCCCTACTATCTTTTTGTAAGACTTTAAAATTTGGCTGTGTACCTGAGCCTGGGGCTCTGAATGTGTTGAGGGCCCCATTTGTGGTTGCACTCTTAATTGGTTAATTATCTTGGCTGCTGTATACATTTATTTTTGGAAGTTTCTATTGTTTTAAATGTTTTTTATTGTTTTTATAGTTTTAAAACTGTAAGCTGCCGAGAGTTACTGGTTGAGATGAGCCGCTATAGAAATTGAATAAACATGCAAGCAAATAAATCAAATGAAAGAGGACTCACAACCTCCATGGCCATCCCATAAGATAAAATCAGCACAATACGAATGAATAATTGTGTCAGGAGAAACCAGGATAAAATGTTATGTGCACAAAGTGACAGCAAATGTAATATTTGTATTTATAACTAGACTGCATTTATCTATTCCCTCCCCCTCCCCCCAGGATATGGGTGTATTTGAATATTATAAAGAGCTTATAGGCTTTAAGAAATATGGGGAACCTTGCCATCTTATGAAGTACATTGAGCCTAGAGAGGTAAGGGCTAAAGTGAAGTGGTAAGTATTAAGCATTCACACTTTTATAATTGATCCATGGCGTGCCTAACATTAACAGCAGTGTGCCATTTAATATGGCTTAACATGGTATAATCAAAGTTTGTAGCGAATGTTTAAAAACTATATGTCTATGTGCTAACCCTATTTTTTTTCTCTTTTTACTGCTAACGACCATTTACGTCAGGAGTTCTCAAATTTGTATATGCAAAGCATAATTATTGCCAACACTCACTTCATCTCAGCCTGGGCAAATCAATATTTGGCTTGCTGTGGAAAAACTGGAATGAAGTCAGACAAGGTTCCAGCTTTGCATGCAAAAGCACAATGAACTTGGCTTGCTTGGATCTCCTGACAGTCCATTCTTTTTACCTGTATAAAGCTGTATCAGTGTCAGATTTCTTTTCTAATTGACAAGCGGACTTCCAGTTTGTCAAAAGAAAGTGGAAAGGAGACCTTAAAGCAGGGGTGGGCAACTATGGCCCCTTTACAAACTTGTAGACTTCAACTCCCAGAATTCCTGAGCTATCTGGCTTAACAACTCTGGGAGTTGAAGTCCACAGGCCGTAAAAGGGCCACAGTTGCTCAACCCTGTCCTGAAGGGTGCTCTGATAGTGTTCTGGCTTTCCATATGGAAACCTGCTCAGTTGCACACACAACTGGATTGCTGACAGAACTCTCTGCCTGGAGTAACCAACAGCCAAGTCAGGATTTTCTGTGATTGCAAATATTGATTCAGAATAAATATAGAATGAGAAATATAAATGGCAGTCTCAAAACTTAAAGCCAGCGTTCAAGAGTTATGCAAAATGAAGCAAGGTCATCCTTCCTGTTAAAAAAATGAGGTCTTAAAGTCAGTTGCTGTATTCTTTATTTATAATAAAAATGTTTTGCTTTAGAAAGCATCAATATTCTATCACTATTTTATCTAATATAGAGAGAGTAACGAAGTGCATCAACTTTTTAAAGTTTTTGCATGCTAATGCATATATAATCTTGTATAATTACAGGCAGAATTTTTAGATGCTGCAGCAGGAGTTCATATTAAATTCAGACTAGGTGGGGTAAGTATATATTTAACAATTATATTTTAATAATAATTAAAATAAGTTTAATTGGTCTCTTGGTTTCCTTAACCATTGCAACAAACTGGCTTTCATTATTAGAATCAAGATAGTGTTTTTTGAGCACCCAACTGCTTTGGCATTCATTGAAACAATATACATTCATGCAATGTCTTAGTAAAGGGGCATAGACTTGGTGATGGGCTATCAATACTGGTCTAGTTGAAGTGGTTGAGAAGTTCATGGGAAGGGAGAAAGCCAGTAGAAGATTCAAATTCCTTGTGTGCAGACTACCAAGAAAGTGCCATTCGTTTTTATTGGCTATTATATTTTTGTTTTTTTTATTGGGCTTCTGTTATTTTAAGAATCGTTTCCATTTTATTATATGTGTTGCTGGGGGAGAATTGAAAAGATTTTGAAGGTCGGAATACTTGTTTAAGAGTACTGTAGTTAGCGTTGTCAGTTATCTCCTTCCATATATATACAGTTCAGGATTGCTCCACGCTTAACAAACATACGGCTGTTTTGCCCTTTGTGCAAATAATAGAACTTCCAAATTTATATTAGAATGATTTGTCTCAGGGCCCACAAAAGTGCATTTTAAGAAAAAATAATTCCAGTCTGCTTCTGATCTATTTTAGAATTTTTTCGTTCTGTTAATAAATAGACATTTACAGAGAATATCCCTAAGGATCTACAAAAACAAATTGCAGTGACCCGAACGTGTTTTCCATTTACCTCTTTTTAAATTGGACATTTCCTTGCAGGAAAAGTTTCCTCCCAGCATATATTATAAAATATTTACTCATAGACCTATTGTGGATTTGTGTGCAAATAGTCCCAAAGACTATGCGAAGATGGCAACCCAATCAAATCCAAGAAAGTTGCAGAAAGGGAGCGTCAATGAAAGTACTAGTGACTGGTATCAACGCATCGAGAATAATGGCTGGAGACTTCTTTCCATTAGAGTAAGACGATAAATAATTTTATGTATTTTCTCTACTTTTGTGGAAGGTTATTGAGCTTTCCAGGTATCAGGGGATATGTGGGTTGAGAGAAGTTCTGTAGTAGAACTGCTCCACTTTGTATTACAGATCACCAACTACCCAACAATTCATAAAGAGGAAAATACCTGTGATACGGCTCTGGGACCAGGAAATTTATCTTCCCTTTCAGCTATTCTATCTATCCTTGCTCCAGTTCTACTTTGCTATATAAATTGTTTGGCCTAATTCAACCAACTGCGTCTCAACCCCTCCTGTCTATTCTTTTTTTCTGTTTCTGCCTTCTTAATGTTTTGTCTCAACTCTTTTTTTCCCCTCACATGTCTTCTGAAATGTTATAGGTTAATGTCAGGCATTTTATTTTAAAAGTTGGGTTTGCTTTTGATTTACAAATCAACCTATTGCTAGGTTAATCTTATTAAGTATACATCATTATAGGTTAATCTTGTTAAGTATACATCACTATAGGTAGTCCTTGAGTTACAATTATCCATCTAGTGCAGGGGTAGGCAACCTTGGCTCTTTTATGACTCGTGGACTTCAACTCCCAGAATTCCTGAGCAGCCATGCTGGCTCAGGAATTCTGGGAGTTGAAGTCCACGAGTCATAAAAGAGCCAAGGTTGCCTATCCCTGATCTAGTGACTGTTCAAAGTTACAGGTCACTGAAAAAAAGTGATTTATGACCATTTATCATACCTACAACTGTTGCAGCTTCCCCATGGTCACATGATCAAAATCCAGATGCTTGACAGCCGGCATGTATTTATGACGGTCGCAGTGTCGCAGGGTCATGTGATCACCTTCTGCGACCTTCTGATAAGCAAAGTCAACGGGAAAGCCAGATTCACTTAACAACCATGTTACTAACTTAACCCTTGCAGATTCACTTAACAACTTTGACAAGAAAAGTAAAAAAAATGGGACAAAACTCGCTTAACAATGGAAATTTGGGGCTCAATTATGGTTGTAATTTGAGGACTACTTATACTAAAAAGGCTGCATTATGCTGTTCACTTAGAATGCAGGGATATTTTTAGAAGTTTTATATCAGAGAACCCTGATCGGAAACAGAAAGGTTCTTGTCACATCCTACAATTTTGCTTCAGGTGTTTCTGAAAGGAAATATAGTTAGCGAACATTGCCTTCTTTTTTCTCTCTCTGCAGTTGTGGCTACTTTTGCATCTTAAGTAAAAGGTTAAATAAAATGCATCTCCATAGGATAGCTGAATCCCAAAGGCTACCACTTTTAGTTTACAGGCAAATTTTGTCAAAATTTCTAAAAATTCCAACCAACAAATTCCAATCAACCACAATGTCTGGCTAAACTTAGTATAAAGGGCTAAAGTGGTTAAAGACACTAAGCTTGTCAGCTGGGAAGTTGAAGCCCAAGTTTGAGATCCAAGTGCCATGGAATGGGATGAGCTCCTGTTACTCGCTCCAGCTATTGCCCACCTAGCCAGGGCTTTTTTTCTCATAGAACGCCCAGAACGGAGTTCCGGCACCTTTTTTGGATGGAACCTTATAGGGTAGGCAAGGCAGGTTATATGACGTGTGTGAGTTCCGGCACCTTTTTTTTTTTTTTTTTTTTAGAAAAAAAGCACTGCACCTAGCAGTTCAAAAGCATGCAAAAGCAAGTAGATAAATAGGTACCATTTCAGTGGGAAGGTAACAGCGTTCCACGGACCTCGGCATATAGTCATGCTGGCCACATTACCACAGAAATGTCTTCTGGACAACACTGGCTCTCTTGGTTAAGAAACAGATGAGCATCACCCCCTAGTGTCCGACATAACTGGAAAGGGGATACCTTTAATAATAATATAATAATAATAATAATGATAAAGTTGGAAGGGACCTCGGAGGTCATCTAGTCCAACCTCCTGCTCAGGCAGGGAACCCTATACCATTTCGGACAAAGGGCTGTCCAGTTTCTTCTTAAAAACTTCCAGTGTTGGCGCATTCACCGCTTCTGGAGGCAGGTTGTTCCACTGGTTAATTGTTCTAACTGTCAGGAAGTTTCTCCTTAGTTCTAGGTTGCTTCTCTCTTTGGTTAGCTTCCACCCGTTGCTTCTTGTCCTGCCTTCAGGCGCCTTGGAGAATAGCCTGACTCCCTCTTCTTTGTGGCCCTCTTTACCTTTACCATATTTCCTTTTATTTATGTAGACTCACAACTGACTCAAAGCAGTGTTAAGAGTTGCTAACCTAATAAGCGCATTGTAGAATGGAAGAGGGAATATCAACGTCTGTTTAGCAACCTACCTTTTTGACATAGCAGACTATTCAAATGCAGCCATTGCCAGGCTCCAGATTTTCTCTGTCTTTGCAAGCATCAACCAGTTAAAATTGAACTGGGCCCTAAAAAAACCCAAAGCCTACTGGAAGAGAGAAGGGAGCTGGGGCAGAAGAGCAGTTGTCTTAGAAGCACTTAGCCTTGACAAGTGATAAAAAAATTCTGATAAATGTGAAATGGCTTTCAACAATTTATTTCAGTATTGGAAGGGTGTGGACTCTTTAACAACGAAAGACAATACCAAAATACAGGAATTCCATCATTCTCCTCAACAGAGGAAACGGAACATGGTAAAAAGAAGAAAAGCAAGAAAAATTGAATGGCTGAAAAAAATGTGAGTTACAGCAGCTTGAAATTCTGAACACGAGATTGGTCAATTTTCCTTTTATCATCAACTTAGTAGTTTTTAATTATCATTCATTCAGCCATATTATGCTAATACAATAGCAATCCATCATTATTAAGCTAGAGCTATTCATCAGCTGGAAATAGCTTGCCTATAAATCACAAGTTAACCATTTCTGCCAATTCTGTTGGCTGTATTCATCGGGATTGGGGAGTGTAAAACTTTTCAGGCCAGGGAACCTGTTAATTTTAAAAAAATTCTATAATCCCTGATCAAGAGGCAAGGCTCTAGTGGTAGAATATTGGCGGTGTTTGAATGAACTTTCTCCCCCCCCCCCTTCTACTCATGGAAATCCATCAGGTTTTTGCAAAAGTTCAAAAAATTGTGATTTAAAAGATAGGCCAACAGAACTAAGGCAAACCATCCCTCCAAGTTAACCTTCCTCTACTTAATGCCAACCCGATAGGCTGAACTCATCTCTGATTCAAATTCAGTCAAACTAGTTAAAGTGATATGGGTAGTCCTCATATGGGTGACTTGTCATTTAATGAGTGTTCGAAGTTACAGTAGCCTCAAAAAGAGGGTATTTTACTCACATAAACCATTGTAAAGCATCAGGCTGCCCCTCCCCCATCTCCATGGTTACGTGATAGTATTCTGGGTGCTTGGCAAACTCTTCACATTTATGACTGGTTGCCAAGCCCCCCCCCCCCCCCCCCCCCCCCCCCCCCCCCCCCCCCCCCCCCCCCCCCCCCCCCCCCCCCCCCCCCCCCGTGATGACCCTTTGCAGTCTTCTCAGCTGGCTTCCCCAGAAAGTCAGTGGGAAGCCAACAGGGAAGGTTACAAGTTATCAAGGGGAGTCAAACTCCTCTGGTGGGGTGTAGAAAAGGAGCCTCAATCCTGAAGATGCGAGCTCTGTTTCTACAGCCCGCTAGAGCAATTCCTTTCTGCACACTTAAGGGGAGCTGTATTTCTGAAGATCCGAGCTCCATTCCTGCAACCCACTGGAATAGTTTCTTTACGTGAACAGAGGGGAGTTGAATTCAGCAGGCGGCTCTTTTGCTCCATTTAAAAACCCAGGAGATCACTTAATGAGCACAATCAGGAATGCTGGGACTGCAGTCATTGAGTGATGCAGTCACGTGGGCCTCTTGCCTAACAACCAATTTGATCATCAACCAAGATTTCAGTCCCAATTGGGGCCGTAAATTGAGGGCTACCTGTAATCCTAACACATTGGAGGACATGTAAAATATTTCAACTACCGTATTTCCACAATAGCTAACTCAACCATATATGATATGTTCTGAGATAACTTAAAATGGTGTACAGTAAATTAAAATTTTAAAATAAGTTAAAAAATTTTTTTGAAATAAACAAAAATTTGGAGAGACTATGTTAGTCAAATGTAGTGGCTCTCCAGGTGTTTGCGTGTTTGTTTGTTTTTTATGTCTAAATGGAACAAGAAAACAGTGTAGGTTTGGATCAGCATTGGGAGACTGTCTTCCATGTTAGCATGGTCTTTCATAAGAGGACCACTTCTTATACAATAGTGCCCTCCAGTGCTTTGGGGATTCCTTTAGATACCTTGATTGTCAGTCAACTGACTAAATTAATTCTAATACACAAATAAACAGTTTGGGTGGAGTGTTTAAAATTGAAATTGCCTTCTTTAGAGCCTGAAGTCATTACATATTTCCAAGTGTGTATTTTGTGAGTAGCTGTGGGTATTTCTAACTGAGAGCACCAGTTCTTTAACATGACAGGTGAACAAGGTGTTCTCCTAAGAGATTAGAGGCCAGGTGGCATCAAAACTCTGTGGCTTTTGAGATAGTATCTTGTCAGTTGCAGCTCCAGAAGTTCTCAGGAATTATGAAGTTCAGTATCACCTGAAGATCACAGGTTTCTGTCTAATTTACATAGTAGCACACAGAGAATGTTCTAGTGATTCTGACTTGAACAAAGAACACGTTCTTTCTGCCAGAGATCTGGTGCAGAATCAGAATCAGTCAATAGACTTTGGTAGAGAAGAAACCAGAGAATGAGAATTTTCCATTACATAGGTATGCATTTACTGGAATATGCCACAGGCTTTTTTAATGGCAGAGAACGTTGCAGTCCATCTGTCACATTGTGCTTTGTGCAATAGTTGTTCTTAAAAATCGTGCTTCCCTGGGCAACCATTTGAATTTCTTGTCAAGAGATCAGTCCTGATCATTTAATATGCCGAGTTTTTTCAGAATGATTTTTTTTAAATTAATGAGTCTCAGAATATATAATAGATGTTGTTGTACATGTGCTTCACTTTTCACCTTGCATTGCATTGTATAGGAATTGTATTGTATAAATGAATTAATTGCTACCAAGTATGTATCAAAACATTAATTTGCAAAGTAAATTCTTCAAGGCTGATTAGCCATGTGTTAGAAAACTACACTTGCATATTTTATTATTAACATGGTTTCAAAGAAACAAAAACTATATTGCCATCTACAGTGGAACTGAATACATTGTACAGGTAGTCTTCAACTTTGTTGTTTAGTGATGGTTCAAAGTTACAACACTGGAAAAAGTGACTTACAACTGGTACTTGCACTTATAACTGTCACAGCATCCCCACAGTCACCTAATCAAAATTTGGGTGTTTTGCCAATTTGCACGTATTTATGATGGTAGCAGTGTCCCAGTTGCAGTGTCCTGGGGTCATGTGATCACCATTTGCAACCTACCCAGATGGCTTCTGACAAGCAGAATCAGTGTCAAGCAGAACTGCTTAACAATCATGTCATTAGCAACTGCAAGTGATTCACTTAATAACCATGGCAAAAAAACCTTGTAAAATTGTGTGCGATTTACTTAACAATTGCCTTGCTTAACAATAGAAATTTTGGTCTTGATTGTGGCTATTAGTCGAGGACTACCCGAACAAGTTTAGCTTAACAATGCTAATTGGTACTGAAAATTTCATTGTTGAGCAACACTGTCATAAATGGAAAAATCTTGTGTCTGTGCCACTTAGCGCTGGCAGTTCAGGTAGTCCTGGTTACCATCATTTAGCAAGGACCACATGGGTCAATAAGTGAGGACCTTGTATTACCACCACTTGTGATTTCCTGCTGGTTTCCCATTGACTTGACTTGACAACTTTATGATGGGTAGAGTTCAATTCCCAGAATTCCACCCAGCCGTGTTTAGAGTTGCTACATTTGAGAAACAGTGCTCTCCGTGACATAGCAAAAGAAGTATTAAATGTAGATTTGATTTTCTTACCAAATGGTTGTGCAACTTGTAAGGTATCTGTGTAAACTGCACCTGTGCCTGGTCACTGTACACTCTACAAAGGAACACACCACAATTAATACAAAAACTCTAAGGGGATTAGTTTATTATGTGCCAGTGAAGGTATTTGGAAGAATTTTGATCAAAACGATATGAAAAATAACAATGGGCAAAATATAAGAAGTTTTATGTTGAGCAAGGGAAGTACAGGAAAGTGTTTTACCCTTCTGTAGGTTTTTGAAAAAAATATGAATGTGATAAAGTAAATTTATCGTAGCTTCATGTTAAATAAAACATGAATAGCCTTGTTTTGCACAAATGCAAAGGGTATTTGGAAATTATCAAATGCAGTAAGAACACTATATGAGGGAAGGAAAGCACATGTGAGAATAAACAGAAAGGTTAGGAAATAGGTTTAATATTGAATAAGGAGTAAGCCAGTGATATATAATGTCCCCTTGGTTGTTTTATGTTTTTGCACTGCTTGGGATGATGTTAGAGATGTTTTATTTGGAAATGTGTATTTTTCTGTGCAGATGAAGCTGTTTTGTTGGCTGAAACACAAATGATTTGCAACAAATGTTAGGTTGTATAATGTAGTAAATATGGATATGAAGTTTACTGTAGTCAAGAGAGTTGTGCTTCCAGCAAAATGGATTAAAATTATCCATAAATGACAAAAGATTAATTATTACTATAGAGGAGAAAATGTAGAAATTTCAAGAAATGCTAAAGGCAATACAAAAGAATTGGGTACCACAATTTGTTGCAAGGAATCAGTATTTGTTGAAAAAAGTGAAAATGACTCTATGTCCCTTTGGGCAGATGGAAGTGAATAGCTAAGACAAGTCTTGAACTCACAGTCTCCGACTTTCTGACCTAGTGCCTTAATCCCTAGACCAGCCTGGTTCTCTAGACCAAACCAGCTCTATTAATTTCTATTAATCTATCAAACTAATTCTATTATTTTTTGTTTCTTCCTCTTTTTCTGCCCTTTAAAAAATGTTGCTTACCTTGAAAGGGAGGAAAAGGACATATAGTTGCCTCAAACTGAGAGATGGGTGGCAAATAAATTTAATTATAATAATAATAATATTCAATTCGACTGCTGTAACTATTAAGAATGAAAGTACATATTTCTATTTTCTAGGTATTTTGGAGAAAATCTGCAGGTTAAAACAGAGAATCCTGAGGCAATTGTTTTAATTCAGAGAGCAACAGAAGGGCTAATCAAGTCCCTGGAGAAGGAAGGAATAGATCAAGTGATGGAATGGGAAGTAGATGAAATGTTAAAGTGGACAAATGCATTGAATTATGACAAGTAATGGTTTTAAAGTTCACCTTTCATTACTTTTCTAAATCTTATTGTTTTAAAATTATCAATTTTAGCTTTTGATCTCTAGTGGCAATTTATATTAATAACTTAATCTAAGTTATTAACTCACACCTACTCCCTTCTGTCTTTCTCTCTCACGCAGACACCAATCAAATCACAAAGTATATGAGAGAGAAACAGTAATATAGGAAATTATTTAATAAAAACTTTTCTGTAACATCTCTTGCACCTCTTGTTGTTTTTATTGTTTCACCTTGGTTGTTTTTGCAATTTGGATTATTTTAATTGTTACTGCAAAAGTTGGGAGATTAAAAAATATATGTATGTCCGTGCACGTATTTGAGAGAGAGAGAGAGAGAGAGAGAGAGAGAGAGAGAGAGAGAGAGAGAGCTATACTAGGGCTACGTGTGTATATCACTCTAAAGTATGCATTGCAATTTGGTTATTACTGTTCCATTTTATTCACTGTGCTTATTGTTTACCTAGATATGTTAAACTATGGAAAGAAGTTGGAACAAGCAAGACTTCAGAAAGTTTTCAAGGTAAAACTTTTGCTGGTCAATCTTCATGTAATTTTAATCTAAAGATAAGAGCATTGGATCGTAAACTTTTGCAGCACATGAGATTCAGTTGACACGTGATGGTGACAGAGCAACTGGTGTTGAAATCTCATACAGATGCATAATTCTTATGCCTCTCTGTAGAATTAGGAGTTTAAGGTTATGGAGGCAACTCTTTGGTTAATTAAAATTTTAATTAATTTAGTTTATTAATTTAACAAAAATTATGGCATAACTAATTCATATTCTGTAAACAGTGAATTAAAACAAATTGTGTGAATTGGAATTGCATTGGTAGCCATGCTGATCATATAATACATGAATTGGATCTTAGTTATCAGTGGCCCCCAACCTTTCGGGCACCAGGAACCGGTTCCGTGGAGAGTTTTTTTCCGTGGCCAGGAGGGGCGTGGCTTCACATGCTGCCTAGATCCCGCAGATGGGGCTTTACTTGTTTGCGCGAGTCAGTTTCCAGTGCCAGTCCATGGACCGGGGGTTGGGGACTCCTATTAGTTATAATTTATTTTGAGGGATTTGCTATGTGAAAATTTCAAATATATTTCTTTAAGAGGTTCTAAACTATATGTGGATTTTACAAATGCAGAAAAATATAATACTGGAGTCTTTCATTATTTCTAGAGAAGCAAGTTTCTAGGCCTGATCAAATATGTGAAGTCAATTTGGTAAGAATTAAGATTTCCAACAGTATGGCATGTTGCAAGATGATGATTATTATTCATGATCATCATAATCATCATAATCATCATCCCCCTGTAAGGCACTACCTTGATGTGGTTGTGGGCTTGTGTACTCTGAGGAAGATGAGAGCTATGCCAGAGATTCAACCATACTGGACAGGTCTCATCAGAGGAGTCAAACAAAGAGTGTAACACCCCGGACTTAACAATTGTAGATAAGAAAGACAAAATAGTCTGGATAGTGGACGTGGCAGTGCCTGGAGACAGCAGAATAGACGAGAAAGAACTGGAGAAGATAACAAAATATAAAGACCTACAAATAGAAACAGAAAGACTGTGGCAAAAGCAAGCAAGGGTAGTACCAATAGTAATAGGCGCCTTGGGTGCAATCCCAAAACAACTGGAGCACCACTTGAACACCATTGGCATTGACAAATTTGCCATTAGTCAATTGCAAAAGGTGGCCTTACTAGGAACTGCTTCCATCCTGTGACGATATCTGTAATACCATCAAACATCCACATCTGCCTATCCCAGGTCCTTGGTAAGGACTCGATAGGTAGACAAAATGCCAAATCCAGTCTGAACATCTGGCTGACTGTGCGATGATCCATAGTAGTAATAATAATAATAATAATAATAATAATAATAATAATAATAATAATAATAATAATAATAATAATAATAATAATAATAATAATAATAATATAAAGTTGGAAGGTACCTTGGAGGTCATCTAGACCAACCCCCTGCTCAGGCAGGAAACACTATACCATTTCAGACAAATGGCTGTCCAGTCTCTTAAAAAATTCCAGTGTTGGAGCATTCACAGCTTCTGGAGGCAGGTTGTTCCACTGGTTAATTGTTCTGTTAGGAAGTTTCTCCTTAGTTCTAGGTTGCTTCTCTCCTTGGTTAGTTTCCATCTATTGCTTCTTGTCCTGCCTTCAGGTGCTTTGGAGAATAGCTTGGCTCCCTCTTCTCTGTGGCAGCCCCTGAGATATTGGAACACTGCTATCATGTCCCCCCTCGTCCTTCTCTTCATTAGACTAGACATACCCAATTCCAGCAACCGTTCCTTATATGTTTTAGCCTCCAGTCCCCTAATCATCTTTGTTGCTCTTCTCTGTACTCTTTCTAGAGTCTCAACATCTTTTTTACATTGTGGTGACCAAAACTGGATGCAGTATTCCAAGTCTGGCCTTACCAAGGCATTGTAAAGTGGTATTAACATTTCACGTGAAATATCACTATTTGTTGAATTTTGTCTGTTATGCCATCTTTTCTCCAGAAGCTCAAGAAGTGTGTAGTGTTCTGCAACCTCATCCCTAAAAATAGACGATGAAATACAATTTGAGAGAGCTAAATTATAATACTGCAGATGCAAATGTTCCAGTTTGTATGTTATTGTAGAAAAGAAACTCTTTAAAAAAGATTATGCCTATCCAACATTATTTAATAATTCAAGGATGAATCTGAATTTGGTAAATTTGAACTGAATTGAAAACTAATGTTTCTAATTTAGTGCCTTCTAGGTTTGCAGGGGAGTTACACTTTGTGTTGCTATCATGCAATATTATCTATAAACAAATACCTTGAATTCAGTTTTCCATTATAAATGGTTTAAAATATATATTTGTATTATTATAAAATATTTGGTTTTATTGTATAAATATTCTTCATGTACAGTGTATGTTTATCTCTAGCTTTCCGGTTTACTCAACACGATAACATTTCTGAATTGATACCAAACAAGATCCAAGAAATAGTGAAATCTCAGATATTATCAACTCACTTGAAGAAGAAGAAATAATCTATCTGACAAGTGAACATTCAGCAGTCACAACAGTTATCAACATAAAGCTTCAGAAGACAAAAAATAAAAACACGGTATAAAAAGATGGAATCTATGCATTTGTGAAGCTAACGTGCCCTAACATAAAATGTAATGAACATATAGAAGTTTGTAATTAAATTTGTTCAGTTTTGTAGTGAACTTATTTTGTGATAGATGACATGCCTGTTGTGATACACACAATTTCTTAGTATTTCTAAATTCTTCAAGAGTTATTTTCAATTTTTAATTATTTTGATTCTGGCAAATTTAAGGTATTACATATAAGTGAGCAAGGATGTGGAAACAACACAATCACATATTGGTAGCAAGGGCAGAAAGAGGTCCCTGCTGAGGTTTAGCATCAATCTATAAATAACCTAAGTGACCATGCATTTCTGTGCTTATCCATTACCAGGGAAATCATAGTTGGAATGTTAATTAAAAGATCAGGGGTTTCCAAAGTGAATGAACCATTTCTCATTCATAGGGGAGTGGGAAAGGGATTGTCAAAATTTACAGTTTAAAGGTGGCACTGATTGACGTTAGAAGTAGACAAAATGAATATAAAAATGTATGGAGTAGTATGTGGTAGAAAGGCTCGTTCTAATCTGATTTCATTTCTTGACCAGGTTACCATTCTGTAGCATAAAACTCTCAGAAAATGTATTGTATTGTACACATGTATGAATGTTTGTATTCAGCACGCTTGTGTTTGCCTTACAACTGAGAAAATTTCCCATGCAACCGTGAAAGTTATAAAGACATTGCTTTTCACTGAAATGTTTCAATATATATATAAAGCATTTAAATAAATTAATAAAAATCAGTAGCAGGAATATTTGAGCATTCAAGAGTTTATTGAAATAGCTTTTGCATTTGTCAGTCTCAATATGAATACAATTTCCACATATCAATTTACAGGCAAATAGACAAAATTCTTGCAGTTCTATAGTTCACTATGGCTTTGTGCAAAAATGAATTATAGTAAGCAGATATGAAGAGAAATGCATGTTCAAAAGAATTTGGCATTATTGTACATTTAAAAAGGCACTTTGGGGCACCTCTGTATTTCATAGCATATCAATACACAAATAGTAGAGTCTAATGCAGAGCAAATAAAAAAATATTTCTACATGCATAGTGCATGAATTCTCAAAAAAAAAAAAAAAAAAAAAAAGGATATGCCCATAACAGTGTTTACAATATAATTCATAAACTTCCTTCAGTAACTTCTTCTAGGTTTCAGAGTGCACATACAAGTTATAACAAGTAGGATTAGCTTATTACTGAACTAAATTTAATCAATAATTAAATGTAGAATAAAGCTACTCTTTCCATGATATAGAACAAGATTACTGTACTGGCCGGATACAGGAATTTCTTGCTAGCATAAACTAAAAAATATATCCATATTTATTTGTAAAAAAAAAAAGGGAAATCCCCCCTCCCCGTATTATAGCATAAAGTGGATAGATTATGCCAATTTGCTTGTCAAACCAAAGAACTGCACTCTTTAGTAATAATGAAAAGAAACGCACTATGTAGCACTATATAGTTATTTCTGATTCTACATGTTATTGATTTCTTACTTTTCTTTTGAAATGCCTTCAGAACCACGCATACATTATATATAAACAATATAATTTCATGTTATCTGCTTTTTAAAAAACCTACAACTTTATATATTATTATAAATCAGAAATTCCTAAATATTCATACAGCAGGATGCACAGCATCATCAACATGCATGGATAATGCATGTTTTTATCTTGAGTACATTCTTGTCTTGTCTAGGAGAAAGGCAAGGTGACCATATTACAGTAACAGGCTTAATGTCAGTTTGATCATTTTAAACAGAGCAGAAATAAGTACTATTATGCTGTAGTAATATTCTTAAACCAAACAAGGAGTGGGGCTTACTGAAAAATATTTTACTTTTGTTAAAGCAAACTGTAATATTGTTAATTTCCTGAAATTCGTGTCTGGGAGGGTAAGATCAGGAAGCCATGTTCCTAGTTATACCAATCCAAGCAAAAGACAAATCCTTCTGGGACATCCACAGGATCTTTATAAATACATATAAAAAAGGGGCAGGGCTTACAGTACAACACTGATATTGCTTTCATTACACTGGAATAAGCGCAATACAGTAACACTTTTTGATTCAACAGTTTCCATGTAATATTTTTAGATTCTATTTTACTTAGGAATCCAACAGCTTCTGAAAATGCTTTATAGTATATTTTCATACCCATGGTTTCCATCCTGGGAAGAGGCGGCTAAGATTTTTGGGGTCCATGGCTTGCTGTATGAGGAAGTTCACCTGGCCGGCCACGCTGAGCACTGTACCTTCTTCCATCCCTTTAAGTTTCTCCTGAAGTCGTATCAAGACACGCTCTGCCACTTTGTTGAACAACTGGCTTTCATTACTGAGAAGGAAACAAGGGTTTTAGGAAGCATACAGATACTAATAAATACAAAAATACAAAATAATAATACAAATTTGTCCTTACTTTGATTTTTTGTTACATCCTTGATCAGCACTACTGAAGTTGGAGCTGACATCAGCTTCATCTTCTGACCTTTGCTGCAGATATAAAGCTTTCAAAGGGTTCATGGTCCAGTCAAACAGAGGGTCATATAGAAGAACCTAAATATCAAAGGAGACACAACTATGTTTCTGAAAAGAGCTTTCCACTGCCCATCTCTTAGAGCAATGTATTAGTTTTATCTGTGTAGCATAATTTATAAATGGGCATTCTAGGCCAAATTTAGAATTGCTCAACCCATAAATTCAACTGTTGAACTCTGATTTCCTCAAATAACCAAAACAAATAAATAGAGATAATGTTGCATCGATCTGCAATCCCAACTGTTATATTTTGTTATTGGCTCTTATTCTCTGTTGACTTGACAGGAAGAAGAATGCTCATTCAAAGATCTTACGGCTGTGAAGTGCGTGGACTTTTTGTTTATTTTGGGAGTACAGAAACTGGGTTCTGGAAAGGAGACTACAACTCCCTCCCAAACCAACACTTGATAAATATTTTTCTACACAACACGTAATTCCACTTAAGAAGTTGCTACCTTGAGATGTGGTGCTGGCAACCAGCACGGCTTGTTTCAAAAAAAGGTTGCGCCACTTTATTAGAGTCATGGTGATCAAGGGCTGTCACCTCTGATGGCAATGTGACTGCCTTTGAAGGCCATTTGCTGGTGACTAGTAGGCTTTGTTGTGCAGTTGGGTAGCTACTGTTAAGAACAGACTGCTGAACTAGATGGGCAGAAGTCTGATCCAGCAAGCCATGACACATGTTCTTATATCCCCAATACTCCAAATACTGCCCTCTCCTTGTGCTTCAAGTTATCCATTGCCTAGCAATTTAGATGGATGGATAGCACTTAATTCAAAGTTCGCACATGACTCATAGCAAATTTATAAACTATTATCTGTTTCCTGGAGTCTGTGCCTATGTTGCTGTTTGCCATATCTTTGTATTATCAGGTCCAAAGCAATACAACATGAAGAGCTTTCTGAATGTCTTTCCAGGTTGGCCTACTGCTTTATTCTTTTACTTTGTGTTAAAATGACTGAATGTCAGTCTAATATTATAAGTTTGCTTTATTGGAACATGAATTCAGAATGACTAACATGTTTCAGCAATAATGCACTATTTGTATATTGCCTCCATTTCAATATTCATTGAGATAGGAGGAATCAGAATTTTTAAGCTACTTACCAACTAAGTTGTCTTTTGGCAGGCAAAATAATAAATAGGGACTATAATAGTCCAAACCACACCAAAGAGTATTTAATATAAAAATGACTTACAATGTTTTATATTTAGCCAAGAAATACTTACTTCTACAATAGTTAGCAGGGCTTCTTGAGAATTTCTCATAACATTCATGGTTTTTTCACAGCATCTAAATGATTTCCAAACAGAATATAATGTCAAAGCCAGTTTCTATTTTAACTTTTATAGAAAACATTACAATGTATTTTTCTAGGTAGTAATAAAGTTTACAATCGGCTCAACGTAGGTCACATTTTTATGAATGAAAACAGTTCTTACCAACTCAACCTCCCAAACTGTAAAAACAGAAATTCTGGCATACATGATGCTAAAATGCTTTGAAAGGGGCAACATACCTCCTGAAGACCCCCTCAACACCAGCAATGCCCATGCCATCCACTACATCTCTTGTTAGCCTAAAAGGTACAGTCTCTGGAGTAGGAAGGATTTTGCCCTGTTCAAAAGCAACTCCTAGCGGAGAAAAGAAAGCAGAAGTCGAAGATCACTGGATTAAGCACCCTCGTCTACCAATGCAGCATTAGAATGTTTTTTTAAAAGGCAGGAAATACAGTTGATTGCAGCAATGAGGTAACAATACATACTTTAGTGCAGTGGTGGCGAACCTATGGCACGGGTGCCAGAGGCAGCACTCAGAGCCCTCTCTGTGGGCACACGCACCGTCGCCCCAGTCCTAGGCCTTCAGCTGGGTTTTATAAAACCTTTTTAGCTGACTCAGGAATTCTGGGAGCATAGTTGACTCAGGAATTCTGGGAGTTGAAGTCCACGAGTTATAAAAGAGCCAAGGTTGCCTACCCGTGCCCTAAGCTGATGTTTAGAAACTGAGATGCCCCCCTCTTACATCAATATTGTCCATGGGATATCTTCATCCTTCAGGCAAAAAGCCTTAGTACAAGCAATGATGCACAACCATTCAATTACACAGGAGAAAGAGGTTGGTAAGGGCAGAGTTAGTCAGAATGATGAACCCTCCTGTTTTTAGAATGCTTGAATGGGACTTACATCAAAATCTAAACACTTGATTCCTTTGGTTGGTACATACCTAGATCAATGTGTACGAGTTCTGCACTTTCTTCATCTAACAGAATATTCTGTACATGCCTGTCTCCTAGACCAAGTATGTAGCCGACTGAAATGGAAATATCCAAAGTTAATCCAGATGTACTTGCACCCAGTCTTTATTTTTTGAAAGCCTACTGATTGGGTTTCTTCCCCTTCCTCGCCATAACCTAGCAAATCAGTTCCATGCTCCAATAATGCCCTGTTTTTCAAAAATATCTTTTTAAAGGGGAATAAAGAGCTGCAGACAGCTAGTAACTAATATACAGATCTGTATGCAGCTCTGGTACAGAATATCCAATATTTTCATATAATTATTCTTTTGTATCAATAATACATACATTTATTTTAACATCAATATTAGAAAACATATTGAGAAACACCTGTGGTTTTAACATAAATATTAGAACACATAGTCTCAATACGTTTTCTAATATCTATGTTAAAATAAATACGTAGTAGGTATTATCTCAAACCCCACTGTTGATCCAAAAATTATGCCAACTGTTTCCCAAGCCACACTACTGGATACAAAAATTAACGAAGCAAAGCATTATTTATTTTTCATTTGCAATCAGAATAACACACCTCAATAAAAATAGGAAGATAATAAAAGTAACTATCTACACAATCTATTAAAATACTCAGCTTACCAAAAATGAGTTCATCATTTTAAAAAAAGCACAAAGTGGTTAAGAGTTAACAGTTTGCAAACCCATTTTGGAGTTTCTGGAATCCTATCTGAAAAATCAGCAGTGTAGTTTCCTGCCATTTTGAAGGGGAAAGGCACAAATATTATCAAAAAAGGAAGGATGGGCAACTTGTGGTGTTGCACCATGTGCCCTTCTCAATCTGGCTTCCAGAAGCTCTTCCAATCACAACTGCTAATTATTAGTCATAGTGGCATGATATCCAACATTTAAATATGTAAAAGTAGGTTTTATATATGTTAAAAGAATAGTTTGCTGAGATGGAATCAATCAATCAAACAAACAAACGCCTAGATACAAACAAACAACTACAGGGTGGAAAAACCCTGGCTCACAGCATCTGTGTGATGCTCCCCTATGCCCTTTGCATCATCCTTCCTACAACTGTGGCCCATGTTGTTCTGATAAATATTGGACCACTTCTGCCATCTAAAAGTTGCCAGTGCTAGTTTAATACTCCCTCCCCCCCAATTCTGAAGAACAAAAAGAAACAATTTGCCTTTGCCCAGGTCTCCAAGGAATCATCTTATTATTAGTGTTTCCCCACTGCTAAAAGTTACATCATCAAAATATTGTCTCCATTTATAGCCTACTGTTATCTCTAGATTGCCTACTCTTTGCCTACAGCAACTCCAGTGGCAAAGAACGTTTCATAAAAAATTAATAAAATTCCTTCATTTAATAGTAAATATGATAAAAAGCTTGATAAAACATCATATTTTATAATACCTATAGATGAAGTGGCAACGCTTCGAGTGTATGCCAACCTTTTCTCAAACCACACCGCTGGATCCAAAAATCTTTCCATACAGAAATAGCGAAATACAGGTTGAAAATTCTGGCATACATCCATGAAAACTGTGTATTTTTCTTCAAAATCTTTCTTTTGTGCATCCTTTGAAGGGAACCACAAACAGTTTAGAGATATTTATTTCTTTTCTCCTGTTAACTCTGAGTGTAGTTTCTTTTGTGCATGAATAGAGATGGTATGAAAAATGATTTCAAATACAACTAGTTTTGCAAGAAAATAAAGTCTGTTTCCTAAAAGGTATAAATGCATATGAAAATGAGCACTAGATATTCTGATAACATTATAAACACCATACTGTGGTGAATAAAGTATTAAATTTGGCAGGGCTCTCTCATCTGGACAGCAAAAGAACCTTTAAAACAGGCAAATAAATAAATAAATAATAAATAAACCAGCAGATGGAATTAAAGAGAGACCGGTTCCGTGGAGAGGTTTTTCCATGGACCTGAAGAAACGTGGCTTCACGTGGTGCCTGCATCCCGACGGGACTTTGTTTGCGTGGACCGGTTTCTGGCATGCTGTGGCCGGTGCCGGTCCACGGACCAGGGATTGAGGACCCCTGTTCTAGAGTTCTGCAATTAAGACAGAATAGCCCTACAACCTGATAATGCTGTCTGGATTATTGCAGAGATTACGTATATGTAGCGCTACCTGCCTTTGAAAACTGTACAGACATTTCAGAGCACATGGCTGTTAACTGGAACTGATTAGTAGGATCCTATCTGCACTGTCAGGGAGCCATTTCTGGGTCAACTCAAAGTGCTTGTTTTAGCGTTAACTGCCAAACATCTTGGAATGAGATATCAAAAGCAATGATCATCTGCCAAAAATGGCTTCCAAATTCATATGAGTATCATCTGAAGCCCTCTTCAAGATACTTCACAAAGTGAGGCAAGGCAGGTAACTACAAAAGAAAGTATTTTTTTTCCAGGGGTGGAATCCCATCTGAAAACAATTCTCCTCGCAATCAGGGTTTCAAATGTGCTATGTTCTTCTTCTTGTTGATTTCATATTGGTTTCACTGTGCCAATGTATCATCATCTCATTATACCTGACAGTTTGACCCATCTGCACCACTAGCTAAATTTGATTTAAAAACTGAATTCCTATTACATGGTAAAAGTCTTTGATGTCATATTACTTTTCTGAGTGTATACTGAACCACTGTTCGACAAAATGATTGTCTCTCACATAGACAACCGTTATTTCTACTACCCCATCTATTTTCTTATGACCAGTTTCTACAAATGAAGAAGCGTTAATAGGCATAATTTAATGTGGCGGACTTACAATCATTTTCCTTTGACAGTCTATGCTACTGTAGTCTTGTGGTCTATAGCGTTTGTGAGCACTGCTGTCAGTATTGATGAGGAATTCCCCCAAAGGAATTGTGCCAGTGCACCACTCTAAGACGCCACTTCTCTGAGAAAGGGGAACAACCTATAGAGGTAGACAAAGCAGATCTATTCTGAATTATGTGATCTCTGGTTAATCAGGAAAGTGCTAGAGAACGTATTAACACAGAATTGGGGTTAGCATTGGAAAGATAGAAGAAAACTCTCAAGATAAAAGGAAGGAAAGAGGACATGCACAAGTTGATTGTTCTAGAGCTTATCTGCAATAAGGGGAAAGAGTCAGCTGTAAAGCACATAATACATTTCAGAAGTGGATTTGCTACTTCAGATAAAACAATATATAATGTTATATATTACTCATATTTTCTGTGCTCTTAATTGCATTACACAGGTAGTGTTTGTCTTACAAGGGCAATTGGGACTGGAATTTTGATCACTAAGCAATGCGGTCATAAAGCATTACCCCATGGCTTAGTGATGACAATCCCTGCAGTCCCAGTTGATATTGTTAACTGGTTGTTAGGCGAGGTAACTTCCTGCTGGTTTCCCACAGCCCAGGCCAGTGTGGAAGTGGCAGAAAGCTGCAAGTCCCAGGTCCATGGGCAGATGAGCAAAGAGCAATGGGGTATGCAAGGTAAGGCATGGATGTGAAGGAGGTTGGTGAGGGTACAAAGGTATGTCTGAGAGTCACTGCAAAGGTTGGGGAAGGAGCATAAGAGGCACCACAAGGGTTGGGGAGAGTGTTTAAAGGTGAAGATCATGGAATGTGCACAAGGGTGTGTGTGAAAGGTGCTATGCAGGTCAGGTAGGGCGTGCAAGAAGCACATGGTGTGAGAGGCACTGCATGAGCTCGGAGTGTGCATGGGGATCCACAGGAGGGAAGACTTCCCCAGCATCTTGTGACCTTTCCTGCTGACTTCCCCAAAGATTTTCAGAGGAAGCCAGCAAGGAAGGTTATAAATGGCAATCACAAGATCATGGGGCGCATAGCAGCCAGTTGTAAGAGGGAATGTGTTGTCAATCACTCGGATTCCAACCATGTGCTGGGATGGTTGGAACTTTTAAGAACCAGTTGTAACCAGTTGTTCAGTGCCATTGTAACTTTGAACAGTCACTGAGCAAATGGATATCAGTCGAGCACTACATCTATTTTAAATTGCGTTAATTGCATCATTTTTGCACTGTATTTATTACATTTTCTTTATAAATCTTTTAAAATCATTTTATAATCTGTCTAGAGAAGTTGGGTTGTTGCTCCAAATAGAAAAAGAATAAATGAAGAGTCCCAGGCTACATCCACAGCAGGTTCCCAAGCATCAGAGGCTGGGCAAGGTCTGTGTCAGGCTCTGGAAAACTACTACTACCCTGCGGTTGTCATTTTAAATTAGGCAAACACTTATTCTGTTGGAAGAGAAAGATTGGCAGCCCATTTCCCTGGTGGCCAGATTCTGCCATCACCAGTTATTCTAGAAGCTATTAATGAGAAACAGCAGATGGATGAATGAATGATCTTCTACAGGGCAGGTCCTCCGGCATTCAAGGCATCAACATTATATCCACAGCAGAGAATTTTCATGCAAAACTTGCCTTGTATCTGCGGATGGTCAGTTTTCTCTTTCTGGTGTCAGCATCTTGCTGTAGTAGAGTGTTGCACATCTGGAAAACCTGTTGCATAACAGCATCCTGTCTCAGATCGTCACGCCCCTTTAAGAGATTTTAAAAAAGCAACAGGAATAACATTGTCTCCAGAATGAATATAAAGGCAGAATTATATAACCTGATCCTACATGTATTCAGAGAAGCAAATGGAAACTGCATCCATGTAAGTGTGTTAAGGACAGCAATTATTATAAAAAAAGTCTCCACACATCCCCACAATCTTTGCATTCTAAATGAGAGTGAGAATGAAACTGCAATTTCAGATGAACCTTCTTTCTTTGGAACGGCCCAAAAGCGTGGAAAAAATTTGGTAAGCATTGTAAAAATAATAATAAAATTGCTTTAAAAACTTTTCACTCACTACCAATATCATATGCCAACTGTTACTATCTAAATTCTCATACAAGGAAATAAAAATATACAGAAGCTCCCATGGTAGAGTCCTGACCCAACAGTGCAAATTCAAAATGGTACTGGACGAAGAAACAAATTTTTCTATGTATGCATTCCGATACTAAAATGTTCCTCAAATGAGAAATAAGCTTAACAGTGAAGGTATACTTCCACTGATTGCATGTTTGTGACTGACTATTTCATCATACCTATTCTGATGTGAAGAACTCAGCAGCATACAAAAGTGCCAAATCTATAATCCTGTTCATATTTCATAATGAAATAGAGAACTCACCTTCACAAGCTGCCTTCTCTGTTGTCCATCTGAACCAACACAATCTATTATTTTGGGCAGATTGACCCCGCCTGCTAGGCGAAATTCTGGTTTGAATGATGTTATTGTAATCAAATGTTCATATTTGCCACTAGGGTCCACCTAAAACCACACAGAAATTTAGATGAAATGTAGATATTTCTTGCCATTTGTCCCTTCCCTAAATGAAATGTTCAACTGAACAGTAAAGGATGTTTTCATTTCTCTGCTACCCGCAACACACTGAGATTTAAATTTAACTTAAACTGAGTTACCTTAATTTCCATGGTAGGTACAGCAACATCTTCTAGATTCTTTAACTTAGTTATAGGTTGATCGGAAGGAATATTTATGCCTCCTGGATAAACAATACATGCCTCATATTAATAAATATTTGCTGTTCATTGAGTCAATATAACTTATCAGGCCAGCCCTCCTTGTCATACTGAAAAATCAATGCTTGGGGAACAGTCTTTGAAGAAGTTCAGAATACATTTCTGATACTATTGAAAGTTATTTCAGGAGTTCTACTTAGCAACTAATGAACAATTTATTTTAATTAACTTTACTTGTTTATTTATTGGATTTATACCCTGCCAAACAATCAACTCTCATCTACTAGACATAGCAAGTTGGGAAAAATATTTACAACATACAGCATTCCTATATAATATACTCCAAATAAAATTCATTGTTGACAGAAAACACTCCCCTTTACAATAGGATTTGAACTAGGAATAAATTGATTCCAAGCATCCAAATAATCCCCAATTCCCCAAATACCTACTTCTGTGGGTTTTCCAGGGAGTTGCATCCATGTTTGCCAAAATAATATAAGCATCACAAAGGGCTTCAACCTTTGCCACCATATCAGGTTTTTTGCGTTTTACAATGTTAATTATACTGCTAGCAGCCTTCATTCGATCCTGCAGGATGAGGTTGTTTTTTTTTTTTTAAAAAAAGGAAGTTAAAAATACAATTCAAATGCAAAGAATAAAATTAATCAAAAATTTAAAATAAATCTGATATGAGGAAACAGAATGCATTACAGAAGAATTTTTTTTTATCCTCATCTTCAAAGCTGATAACGTTGTATGATTCCTTTAACAAAAAATTTTTTTACAACCTGAAATAATGCAAATACAGTTACATTTAAGTACCTTGTCAAGAAGAGATGTTTCCTTTGGCACATTTTTTATTAGTCCACTTCTTTTAGTCACTTCTGGTTTGGCCAGGAATTCATCTTTGTTGGCATTAGCCAATGCCAAAATTATAAACAAAGTGTGATGTGGATGGTCGAGAGAAATTCTTGCTATAAGCTATTCAAGTAAAATATTTAAAAAGTTGATTATTTAAAATAAAATACGAACTGAACATTAAACAAGCATCAAAGTTTCAACAATAATGTCCAATGTGCTTTAACTCAGAAGTATACATATGGGCCTGGAAAGCCTTATGTATGGCTCCTCCCTAAAGATTTATATTAGCTATAGTTAATTAATTTAATATAAGTTTCACTTTATTTACATTAAATGAAAGCTAGTTTTTAATCCCACTTACAAGAGGTCTGCAGGATATTACAACAATGGGGACCAGGATTACCATTGCCAAGTGATGCAGTCATAAAGTGCGACATGATATGACCACACAGATTAGCAAAGGCAATGTCAGCGGTCCTGTGTGCCATCGTAACCCCAGGGTGCATGGGACATTAAGTGGGAAGAGGCGGGAATCCTAGGCAAGGAGTGTGGGGAGTACAGTTGTCACAATGGATGTGGGTACCACAGATAGGTTTTTGGGGTAAGGGAAGAATCAGGGGAAGGCCAGTGGAGGCTGCAGATGGGCCAGCAGAAGCCACAAGTTCAGGGGAATGCCCCAAACAGGTATGTACTACAAAGGGCAGGAGGGATGATAGGCAGCAGAAGATCTTTGGGATACAAGATCACAGGGACACCATGACAGAGACAGAACTTCAAGGACCGACCATAAGTCCATTTTGTCAGTGCCACTGGAACTCTGAGCTGTGGACATAAACTGAGGACTACCTAGTTTTTTTGGGCACACCCCACCAAAAACATTTAACATGTAACATATGTCATAGTGAGTACTTCTTGATAAGGTTGTTTGACCCTATTATAAATCAAGGAAATCCTTTAGCATTGTCAAAGTATCTAAAGCAATGTAGAAAGAATTCTACTAGCTCAACAGTCCACATGCATTCTAAGAAAAAAAATATATATCGTTCTCCTATCCCACCTGTTTAAAATTCAAACAAAAACTCTATATTTGTAAATGAGGAAGATACATGACAATTGAAAGTCAATTACATTATTCAAAATTTCATGAAATCCACTCATCCTGGTTCCCATTCGAGCAGCCAGCTGGTACATCAGTGGCAAGAATTTGTAAGACGGGATTTTCTGTGCCTCCTTCTGTTGTGCAGCAGAAGAGCATGTAAAATAGAGGCAAAATAGGAAAGTGCATTTAGTACTTAAACACAGGCAGACTTTTTTTTAAACAGTGTAAGATGTTTGTATAAGCTTTATGAATGCCAGAACAGAATGGCTATAATCCGTTACTATTAATATCACTAAAATATGGAATTATCGTTATCTTTTCAACAAAAGAAAATGATTATATTAATCTGATCTTGGGATTGAATATACTGATAGCCCTTGATTAACAACCATTCCTTTAATGACTGTTCAAAGTTACGACAGTACTGAAAACAGTTATTTATGACTTGCCTTCACACTATAACTATTGCAGTGTCCTATGGTCACAAGACTGCAATTCAGGTGCTTGGCAACCCTCATGCATTTATGAGGGTTGCAGCATCCTGTGGTCATATAATCATCATTTTCAGCCTTTCCTTTTGACAAGCAAAGTCAATAGTCATGTGATGTTTTACTTAAGGACCCCAACTGGGACTGCTGTCGTAAGTTGGCACATTCGTGTACTGTTTCGCTTAGCAATGGAATTGGTAATTAAGGCCATTAAGCAAGGACTACCTATATTTCTAAGAAAGCCATGCAAATATAATACTACATGGCTAACTAGACTAGCAGATCTCTTTTATATCTAAGTCCCTCTGGATTTTATATCTAAGCCCCTTTGCCACAGAGGCAACCCACAGATTACCAGATTTGTAGACCAGACTGAAAAGTAAAAACAAAAACAAATAAAGCTACAAAAGATAAGGTGTGCTTGGTATAAAACAAAAAGAATCAATATGAAACATAATTAGATGTTTATGTAAGTTGGATACTTTCTTATACTAGCCTGAAAAAGTAACAGTCAAAAACACTATTAAGATGGCAAGCTGATGCTAATTAATTCAGATAACCATGCCACATATCCCAAGAACAAAAGCTAATGAGGTGAGGCAGACATAATGAGAGTGAGAGAGAAGAAACAAAGAGTGTGTCAAATGCAATGCTTTAGCTCTAATCATTTTTCTATGTAGGAGAAAAACAAGATAGTATCCTTCAAACTAATCAACTATAGTTTATCTACTGAAACCCACAACAATAATGAAATAATGCAATACAAAATTTGTTCTGATTTTGAGAAACTGTACAGGTAGCATAAATATGCACAAAACGTGTAAAATCCAAATCAACATGCATAGGTCTTTTTACAAAAGCTGGATTTACATGATAAAGGCTTAGATCCAAATCAAAGATTCACAACATAAAAGCAGCTGGCCCTAGATTTAGCCTCAAATATGTGTTTGTGGGTGCGTGTACCTTCAAGTCAACATTGATTCCTGGGCAAGTCTCAGCAGTTTTTGAGTGAGTAAATCTGTCTGTCTGTCTGTCTGTCTGTCTGTCCGTCCGTCCGCCCGCCCGTCCGTCCGTCCGTCCGTCCGCCCGCCCATCCATCCATCCATCCCATCCCCCCCCCCCCCCCCCCCCCCCCCCCCCCCCCCCCCCCCCCCCCCCCCCCCCCCCCCCCCCCCCCCCCCCCCCCCCTCCCCCCCACCCACCCACCCACCTATCTATCTATCTATCTATCTATCTATCTATCTATCTATCTATCTATCTATCTATCTATCTATCTATCTATCTATCTATCTATCTACTATCTCATTCTACATCAGCCATCTCACTGAAGTGACTCTTTTTGGACGTAGTTTGCCATTGTCTCCTTCCTAGGGCTGAGAGTGAGTGACTGGCCCATAGTCAACCAACAGGCTTCCTGCTTAAGGCAGGCCAAGCAGTGTCCTGCTTTCTAGCCACTGTACCAAATTGGCTCTAAATATGAAGCAACCCAAACATGAAACAGAAAAATAAGACTTCAGCAAGACTAACCTGAATCATGTCATTGACTTCAGAAAGTCCAGCGTTCTCAAGCCAGAGAGAACAGAGGCGGAAGATCCACATGTCATGCTCTTCTCCACTCAATAAACACATAATGTAGTTCTCAACTGCTTTGCATAAAAAACGCTTGCGATCTTCTCCCAGAGCACGAATTTCACATTCGTCTATTTCCAGCTCCCTCTGAACTTTCACAGTGTATCTAAGCAGTACAAAATGAGAAATAAAACCTCCATCCCAAAACTCCTCTGATTAAATACCAATAATTATACAAAAGGTAATTACACAGTTATCCTGCAAGAAACTCATTGTTAAACTACTTGTCCCATGAATATCAAGATAATGCAATGAAATTAAAGAATTCCAAGATAAAAAGACCAGGGCCATCTTAATTTCCTTTTTATTACAGTATTGTTGGCTTGCATACTTGCAGCTTTTCAAAGGAATGGACAGTATCATGTAAAAACATCCCAAAAATAGGAACCAAAAAGTTGTACTTAAAAATTTTAAACAGCTAAAATCTTAAAGATACTGTGAGAACATAGATTTAGCTATCTCACAGGGTGGCCATTTTATTACCATTGTTTAAACCCTGGGCATGGATGCCATCTTAAGTGTTTGAAAAATGCCATGGTGTCCATGATCACTTATTGGAAACTTCAATCAAGTTACTCACAGTGGCTGGTTTCGGCTGTGAGACTTACCTACTAGTCTGAACTTTATGCTCCCTTA